CCTCCCATTCCTCAGACGACATGTCCATCCTGGGCCTCCTGCAGTGCCACAATGATGCCACCCGAAGGTTGCAGGAACAGCAACTCATATTCCGCTTGGGAACCCTGCAGCCCAATGGTATCAATGTGGATTTCACAAGTTTCAAAATCTCCTCTCCCCCCACCGCATCCCAAAACCAGTCCAGCTCGTCCCCGCCTCCCTAACCTGTTCTTCCTCCCACCTATCCCCTCCTCCCACCTCAAGCCACACCCCCATCTCCTACCTACTAACCTCATCCCGCCCCCTTGACCTGTCCGTCCTCCCTGACTGACCTATCCCCTCCCTAACTCCCCACCTACACTCACCTTTACTGGCTCCATCCCCGCCTCTTCGATCTGTCTGTTTCCTCTCCACCTATCTTCTCCTCTATCCATCTTCTATCCGCCTCCCACTCTCTCCCTATTTATTTCAGAACCCCCTACCCCTCCCCCATTTCTGATGAAGGGTCTAGGCCCGAAACGTCAGCCTTTTTGCTCCTATGATGCTGCTTGGCCTGCTGTGTTCATCCAGCTCTGCACCTTGTTGTCTCGGATTCTCCAGCATCTGCAGTTCCCACTATCTCTGACCCAACACCCTGTTGGGTGAAGAAGGCGAAAGAGATTCAAATCAGGAAAACACGCACTAATTTCAAATCATGCAAACCACCCTCAATGAAATGTCTGTAAATAATAAACACCTTTTGACATTGTGGAGGGTTATCAGACATTTTCGTTGCTATAGTGGCAGATAATACAAATGTTCCCTGGGTTTAGGTGCACATTACAAAGTTTCAAACAGTGTCGTTTTGCATTTGTACCCGAAACACCACCACATGCATCAAATTGTTCATTATACCCCAAAACCGCCGGTTTAATGATTAATTAAGTTAACATTTCTTTTTCTTTCAGGTTCTGAAGCAAGTTAAGTAGTCATTCCTTTCAGAATGTCACTTGCTTTGGAAATGAAACTTTCTGATTAAGCAGATTACCCAAACACTAGGAAAACTAATAAGAGAAAGTGGCACAGGAGCTCACGGCTGCATCAAAACCAGACACGGCAATTGTGGTCGATCCACTGGCAGATGAATCGCATTGCTAATGAAGGCGAGCCAAGGTCCGTTTTGTTTGCTACCCTATTGTAGCCTGTATTCTGGATTATGCGTCTTGTAACACGTTTTAATGTTACATTACCAGATAAAATAAATGCAGGTATTTTAACAAGTTACATGCTTAACATCTTGAGTGCCTGACTGTATTGTGTGTTTGGCAGAAATGTAAAATTATTAACTTCAACATCCATATTATTGTGAATTAATTTTTTAATGTATTGAAATGTTAGTTGGACAGATCTAAAGGCTTATTACAGCCTTGATTTCCCCCTTGTCTGGTTAGAAAATGAAAAATTGAATAGATGCAATTCTTTTGTGAAATGTTTTGCATTTTTTTCATGAATAACTGTAAGGTACAATGCATTGACAGAAATTTCCCAGCGGTGGTTGTTTACTTTTTCAAAAACAACTAATTGACCAGAAAAGGCACTGCATTTGTACATTTAATAAAATATTCATTGTGTTTGTATTGACAAAGCACAGAACAGAAATGTTGCAAGTTGGCATTCTGGTTCTGTTTTGGGAATGGTTTTCTCAGTAGGTACTTGGCTTTGATCTGGGAGAGAACCATCACATGTCACTGTAATGGCTGACTGCAATTTCAGCCACAGCTAAATGAGCCACCTTGGAAAAGAAAGACCAGCTACACACAGAGCCTTTCAAAACCTCAGGATGCCCCCAAGGGGCTTTACAGTGAAGTACATTCTAAGTGTAGTGTTTTCAGCTGATAGCAATCTGCCTTGCCTAATATTACTGAGTGAAATCTGGCTTGATTGACAAGCAGTTTTACTTTTTCATTTGTTTTCTTTAGTAGTCACTCACTAAAAATATTCACATGAGGCTACCAATGCACCTTAAGCAGAAGAACTGCTATTACACACAAATGGGGGGAGCAGCACAAACTATTTTACACTAAGAACTATGTGAATGGTCTTATTTTTATAGGAAAGTGGTGGTATAGTGGTAATGTCATTGAATTAGTAACCAGAGTACTACACTAATATCCGGAGGACATTGCTTCATCTTCACAATGACAGATGGTAAAATTTAAATTCAATAAAAAATTCTGGAATTAAAAGTTAGTCTAATGAGACTGTGTCAATTGTTGTAAATGTCCATCTGGCTCACTAATGTCCATTAGGGAGTGAAATCTGCCCTTACCTGGCCTATACGTGACATCAGACCCACAGCAATGTGGTTGACTTTTAACTGCCCTTTGAAATGGCTAAGCAGGTTACTCAGTTCAGAGGCAGATCGGGATGGGTTATAATGCAGACCTTTCCAGCTGTGCCTACATCCCTTGAACAACTTTTTTAAAAAGATCCAAATATCAGAAAAGTCCTCAACTGCAGTCTTCCAGATACTGATACATCAATGAAGGTTCACCTTGATTTTGTTTTAAAGTCCTTGTTCAGTTGGTAGGACTATACTTGACTTCTTCTCGGAGAACGTTATGTATTCACTCCGTGCTATCTTCTTTGTCTCTTCATGTGAGACCCTTAAACTGCAATCCTAATTCATGTATTTCTTACCTTGTGTTCCTTAAACTCATGGATTCAACAGCCTTGTGGGATGTTCTGCTCTCTAACCCCTTAAAAACTTATGTTCCTGGGGCTACTTTCTGGCTAATATCCATGCCACCGTGGCCTTCATTTCTGCTACATTGACTGTTGTCGGGACTATTGTACTGCTGATGTTACAGGGCTTTTCCTTCAGAATGGCCAGCTTCCCTCTGAAAGGAACCTGCCCATTCACTGACCATCTGAATGGTTCTCTCTGTTTCATTAGAACACCTCGTTGCTACACAACTCTCCTTTCTTCTACCGTTGACCCTTGTTTTCTGAAGCATTGAACTATTCCCCTCACTTGTTTGCTTTTTAAAATTCTCATTTAAATGCATGTGAACACATTTCCAGATAACTGGGTACCACTGTCACAACTGAACAATGAAAATAAAACTGTTTCTCTTCTTAACATGGATTATAGAAATACAAATCAAACTTGATGCTTTGTGTTCTGACAACTTTAGAACCTAAGATTTCAAGTGATATGAATCTCCATCACAGTAACAACATATGAAGCACATCAGTCAAATTGCACACAGCAAGATCCCACAGGTGGCAATGTGATAATCAGGTAAGTTATGTTGTGATATTAACGGAGGGGCAGATATTGGGCAGGATGCTGGATATAACTTCCCTGGTTTAACGTGGAAAAATGGCCTCTAACCATGCAGTACTCCCTTAGTACTACAGGTGTTGGTGGGTGGGGAGTGCTCTTATGTGTGCTTTTTTTTTATATTCGAGACCATGAAGTGGGACTTGAACCTGCAATTTTCTGGCACAGGTGAGTGTGCTGACTTGGAAGTCCTTCTGTGGTCTGAAACAGCTGGGGATGCCAGAAGGAAAACAAGAACAGGACAAATTCCTTGATCTTTCCGTAGTTCTGCCATCATGACTTTGAGCTGTATTTTGGTGGGCCCTTTTCTTTAATTAGTGTTGAATTCTGATGGTCATAATACCCCATGTGACAGTGATCTTGATTGTTTTATTGACACTGGTTAGCTTGGGCTTATTATTGTTGAATTTACATTACCTGCTGTGATCCACAAGAATGTCCTTTTATCCTCCATTATCTTACCCTGCCAGCATATCCCTTTCTCCCTCCTCTCTGTTCAGCTTTCCCTCAAACCTGTCATTGCTCAGTTGTCACTTGCCTCAGTTACTCCCCAAAATAGTGTTTCACATTCTCTCTGCCCTGCACAAGAACATGTTCCCTGCAAACTGCTGTTGGGAGAATGTAATCCTTTTCACTTCTAAAGAAACCTTTTAAATTTAACATCTCCAGTGCCTGTTGCGGTAACCCTTTTTAACCAACCTGTTTGGACATGTTACAGCACTCTTCTAAAAGGTGCGACTTGTACCCAGACCGTTTAACCTGGAAATAGGAGCATTACCAGTAACCCACAAGAGACCTGTATGATTGTATGTCCCTGTAATAATGAGACTCTACTGTACAAAGTATCCAGTGCTCATTGCTGAACACTGGATTGGGTACCCTAGAGTAGAGTATAGGTTTATTTCTGTTTGAAAGCTTTTGCTGTTTAATTTGCTCTCGGTTACTCCAACGAGGCTAGTCTGCTGAACGTTTACCCGAAATTCCCCTGCTGCAAGTTCTCTCAGCCAGTGGCAGCAATATTTTCAGAATACTGTTGCTCTCCTATGGTCTCCAATCTTGTAAACAGTTCCAACCCAGCTCTAGACTTTGTACATCAGATCTTCCCCCTCTAAATGGTCCACTAAAGGTTAAAGTAGATGTTAAGGCCCCGAAATCATTTCAGTCTCTCAAGTCTGGGTCGCCTTGTGGTGGCTTCAGTCATTCTATAACTCCATGTGGCATTTTCTTCGGTAACATGGTGCGTCCAGCCCTGGAGCCCAGAACTGTGAAATTTGGACTTTGTCTTAAATTCTCTTTTCTTTATAATAGTATTGCGTAAGGACTGTTATTCTGAACTTTTTATTTTATTTTTCCAATTTATATTACGATATTGTCCTTTTTGAAGATCTGTAATCCTGGACTTGATATTTCTTTGTTTTTTCTATTTTTTTTTCCCCCCCTTGGAATTTGTGCTCTGAAATCTGTACTTCGGTACCTTTTTTACCTAAGATGGTGCATACATGTGACAACAAAGCTAATTCAGTTCAAAGTTTTGACAGGCAATGTAAATAGTTCAGCTCTTCTCTGGACTGTCTAGTCTGGCCATTGAACTGTTAGTGTCCTAACAAAATCAGAAGGATTGAAGTCTGAAAGAAGGATCACTAGACTCGAAACATTAACTCAGTTTTTCTCTCTTCATAGATTCCGCCAGACCTGCTGAGTTTCTCCAGCAATTTGTTTTTATTTCAGATTTCAAGCTGCCGCAATCATTGTTTTACCATCAGAAACATAATGTCACAGGATTGTATTTGACAGATTTCAGACTTGAACACCTTAAAAGATCTTTTTGAAAACAGTAACTATTCTCACTGTAGACAACACTGCTGAGAGTATCCCTTCTCCAGTTATCAAGGTAGAGTTGAGAGTTTTTTTTTTACAACAGGGATAAGGAAGCCCATTGTGGCTATGTCAGTCTTTAAATAATCATCTATTCTAATTCTGTTTCCCAGTAGCTGTTAGGAAGGTGATTCCAGAACGGTGACTGAAGAAACAATGTCCAAAGGTAGGGGTAGGGTGAAGAAGAGAGATACTTGGATATAAATGTTCCCTTGTGCTTTTTGGTGGTTTGGGTCACAGGGAGGGTCCAGGCTGTCTAAGTAAGTTTGGTAAATTCCTGGAGCATGGCTGTAGAATGTTCATGCTATAGTGAATAATGAGTTCAACAGCAGACTGTTTTGGTCAAGATAAGTGCTGCACTCCATTTCATTCTATTGCCATCTGTCTATCCGAGCAATCTACTACGCAGAAAACAACCACCGTCTGCAACAGCCATTAGGGAAAAATACCAGCCTTGATGGCCCATGACTGAACTTTAAACATATACTTATATAATCATCTTGATTTTGGCCTGGAAGGGGGTGTTTTTACCTTCGGCCGCTGCAGATTTGTGCACAATTAAAAATTTATTCAAATTGTAATTCAGATAACGACAAAACATTAAAAAAATCCAGTTGAACCTCAACAGTGAATGAACTGGAATTTCAGGGGGGGTTGTCTTTCACACAGAACAAGACTCCAGCCCCACAATACAATTCACATTTCTTTGAAAGATGATAATGCAACAACTGTCACATTAAGAATATAGATAGTCATCTTGTACACTGGCATAAAAATTAAGTTATTAATAATGGATGGAAATCCAATGACTGTAAATATCACAATCAAACAAGTGTTATTCTTGTAATAAACAGTCCTAGTACATTCATTTCTTAAAAATATCCTGGAAAACAGAAACATTAGCCACATAAATAAATACATTGTTTTGTTTGAACCATGTATTTAAGTACATTGTGTTAAATGGGATTCCAGTTATAGCCTTAGAAACTAGTTGGTCTGCAAACCTGCTCCATGTGACAAAAAAAAAACTGACAAGTCTCAGTTTAATTCAACCTGGACTCTCCCAGCTCTAACCTTGTGGCTTGGTGTAGTCTCAGAGATAGACAAACAAACACTTATTCTCCCTGATGTGCAAAATCATAAATTATGATTGTAGAACGCTCCTCAAATCAGTGTTGATCAAAGAAAGAAACAAGAACATAAATTTCCAAAAAGCGCTGTCTGTTTTCAAAGGGTTAGCTATATCCTCCTCAATGCACCAAGCCTAAGGTGCACAGAGAGGAGTAAGTCTTCCCCATTAAGCCTTCAGAGCCCAAGGTTGAGTTGGACCATTGTGACTAGTATCAAGCCTCCTATTTCTAATGAAGACCATCTTAATAGGCTGAGTCAGTTGATGGGCACTGACAATAACATTTAAGTTATTTGTCTCCCTTTAAGTTAATTGCTCCCTTGTTAGAAAAGGGGGGGCACTTCTCTTTGATAATACTAATGAGAGAATCCAGTGTCTCCTCACCTTTTAACAATGTTAACCAGCTATATCTTGGACGGATTTCAGATGCCCATATTTTAACTTAGTCCAGCATTGCTACTTGCAGTACACAATTACTGATGGGCATCAGTAGATTGTCTCAGTAAAAGAGGGAGTTCATCTTTAGCATTAATGAGTGGGCAACAGCGTCACTCCGAATTGTATCAAAAAAGAGGGTATTTTAGCAGCAGGGGAAAAGTGGAATTTACACAAATTTGTGCATTAACCTCACATGACAAAAAAAAAAAGGACAAAAGCTGAGAGGTGGTTCGATTGCCCCTGCACTCAATCAATAGCTGTCAGTTAGTCAGGTTGTTCCACAGTGTGTGTGTGTCAGGTTGGAAGTGTTGTTGAGTACTGCTGTAATAAGGCTCCATGACAAGGATTACACACGCATACAGGCTGGATAGAGGATGGCAGAGGCAATTCATGGATGGCGCACAGACTGCAGACGATCGTAAGACAATTGCTGCAGCGTTTCTGTAAAAAGATCACAGCCATTGTTTAAATCCACAGAAAAAGATCCCGTGTAAGTTATCCGGGATCGGGTGTGACCCAGTTATGAAGAAATGAGCGTCTATGACACCACCCCATTATAAGTGGGCAGGGTAATGACTGATCTGATCCAGTGATATGACAGAGGAAATGAGTGACATTATTATGGCTCAAGCATTTAAACAACACAAATAGAAAGGATAGTAGGAACTGCCAATGCTGGAGAATCTGAGATAACAAAGTGTGGAGTTGGAAGGCTGACGTTTCAGGTCAGGACCCTTCAGAAATGGGGGAGGGGAAGGGGACTCAAATAAAGAGAGAGAGAGGGGGAGGCGATGATGGAAGGTGGATAGAGGAACAGATAGGTGGAGAGAAGACGGACAGGTCAAGGAGGCGGGAATGAAGCTAGTAGGGAGGAAGTGGGGGGTGGGACGAGCTGGCCTGGTTTTGGGATGCGGTCGGGGGAGGGAGATTTTGAAGCTTGTAAAGTCCACATTGAGACCATTAGGCTGCAGGGTTCCCAAGCGAAATAGGAGGTGCTGTTCCTGCAACCTTCGGGTAGCATCGTTGTGGCACTGCAGGAGGCCCAGGTTGGACATGCCATCCAAAAAGTGGGGAGGGGGAGCTGAAATGGTTTGCGACTTGGAGGTGCAGTCGTTTGTCGCGAACTGAGTGTAGGTGTTCTGCAAAGCAGTCCCCAAGCCTTCACTTGGTTTCCCCGATGTAGAGGAGGCCACAACGGGAACAGCGGATGCAGTATACCACATTAGCAGATGTGCAGGTGAACATCTGTTTATTGTGGAAGGTTTTCTTGGGGCCTGGGATGGGGGTGAAGTGGGAGGTGTAGGGACAGGTGTAGTACTTCCTCGGTTGCAGGGAAAAGTGCGGGGTGTGGTGGGGCTGGAGGGGCGTGTGGAGCGGACAAGGGAGTCCCGGAGAGAGTGGTCCCTCCGGAAAGCAGATAAGGGTGGGAAGGAAAATATATCCTTGGTAGTGGGGTCAGATTGCAGGTGGCGGAAGTGGCGGAGGATGATGCGTTGGATCTGGGAGGTTGGTGGGGTGGTACGCGAGGACGAGGGGAATTCTGTCTTTGTTGTTATTGCGGGGAAGGGGTGTGAGGGATAAGTTGCGGGAAACGTGAGAGATGCAGTTGAGGGCGTTTTTGACCACTGTGAAGGGGAAATGGCCGTCCTTGAAAAACGAGGACATCTGGTATGTCCGGGAGCGGAATGCCTCATCTTGGGAGCAGATGCGGTGGAGGCGAAGGAATTGGGAATAGGGGATGGCATTTTTGCAGGAAGGTGGGTGAGGGGAGGTGTGTTCTAGGTAGCGGTGAGAGTCGGTGGGCTTGAAATAGATATCAGTTTCCAGGTGGTTGACAGAGATGGAAACAGAGAGGTCCAGGAAGGAGAGAGAGGTATCAGAGATGGTCCAGGTGAACTTAAGGTTGGGGTGGAAGGTGTTAGTAAAGTGGATGAACTGTTAGAGCTCCTTGTGGGAGCACGAGGCATATAGAAGGGAGTAGGGTTTGGATGAATACTGACACAGCTGAGGAACAGATTTACAATTCATTGCAACAAACTACTTTATCAAAAGTTCATGAGTTTTTTTTAATAAAAGGGGAAAGTTCAGTAAAAAATGAGTATAGAGGAGAGAACAGAAAAGCGATTGCAGCGATATAAAGCATACCGTGCTCAACCTGCATGAAGCATTGGCTGAAACACCCAAAATATCATGGAATATTGTAGAATCCTTACAGTGTGGAAGTAGCCCATCGAGTCCACACTGACCCTCCAAAGAGCATCCCACCCAGACCCACGCCCCTACCCTATCCCTGCATTTCCCATGGCTAACCCATCCAGCCTGCACATCAATGGACACAATGGGCAAATTAGCATGGCCAGTCCACCTTAACCTGCATAACCTTTGGACTGTGGGAGGAAACCCACGCAGCCTTAGGGAGAATGTGCAAACTCCACACAGACAGTCGCCCGAGGATGGAATCGAACCTGGGTCCCTGGGTCCCTGGCGCTGAGAGGCAGTGGCGCTAACCACTGAGCCACCGTACTGCCCATGTCCTGGTGGCGTTTGCTGTGCTCCCTCCCCACTTTGCCACTGTGACCTATCTTTATGTAAAGCTCGGGCATGTTTTGATGCAAAGACACAGCCCATTAGCCTCACTCAGAGTGCTCAAACTGTAAGCTCCAGAACTCTCATTAGAAATAAAAAGTGCAATTATTCCACTGTTTCTCACCCGCACCCCTCCCCCCAAAATACACTGGTTCTTTATAATAAAGCATTATGTAAGTCTTAGTTAACGCAAAGGAAGTATGACACTGAGCCACATAAAAGGGCTATTTCAAGGGCAAAATAGGGCTGTGTAATAATGCTGGCCCAACCAGCAACACCCAGGTCCCCAAAATTAATAAATAAACAAACAACAAAAATATATTAGGACAAGCAACCAACAGCTTCATTTAAAAGGAGCAACTTAGAAAGAAGAAATAGTGAGGGTGGGATTTCCAGAGCTAGTGGCCTTGGTAACTGAAAGCGAGCACTGAAATCAATCCAGGATGTTGAAGAGGAAATGAACAGAGAGTGGAAACGGAGCTAGGTCACAGGGGAGGAATCTGAAGACCAGGATAGGAGTTTTTTTAAAATCAGGGTATTGCCACACCAAGCAGTCACTATCGATTAGTGAGCACAGAGATAAAGGGGAGATTTCAAATGTAGGCAGCAGTGTTTTAGACATCGTGATGATGAATGTACCTTCTCCCTGGTTACTGAGGCTTCCTCTTGACAGAGTTTGCAAATTGTATTCTGCTTTTCCAGTACTGACCAGTCAGGTTCCTGAGAGACACAATGCAGGACAGTTATAAAACCAGTCTCTTAGGAAAACGTACAAAACTGTAAGAATTATAACAAAAAAGATTACTAACCTTTTCTGCTTCTGTTACTGTATTTGTGCTTGACCTGAAAATATAAGGAACATTAGCATTCAGCTACAATTTTCACAAATCAATCAATCAATCAAGCTCATTATATGAAGGGATTTTACAGCCCAGTGATGAGCTGAAAAGCGATGGAGAAAGAAGAGCAGAGAGAGAGAGACAGAGAGATGGAGAGACCCAGAAAAGGGTATGGGAGAGTAAGGCGGTGGGGGAGGGGGGAAAGGGGGTAGGGAGACAGAGAGAGAGAGAGAGACACACAGAAAGAAAGAAAGAAAGAAAGAAAGACACACAGACAGACAGAGAGGAGCAGTGAAGATTACTTGTGTTCCTATTTCTTAGAGGTGAATGAGACAGGATGAGTAAAAAGAGAAAATGGAGTGAAGAGAAAATTAAATGCACTTTTGGGTTAGTGAGGGTTCACTTCAGAAGCTGGAGAGGGGATATACAAATCAGGGAAAATTCATACCGAGCACCAGGCAAACAGGAAATTCCATTTCACTGCTCTCACCTTCAAAACCAGTCAGCTCTCAGGACACTTGTTATTTTTACATGTGGCTCGAAATTTGATAAAAATCATTAATGTGTGTTGAATTGATTTTTGACTGTTAGCTCACTGATGTATACTTCTGCTCTGGTTGGTGTTAGTGAGGCAGATACCGATGATGATGCTGGTCATTAGTGATGCATTCAGAAATCTGTTCTCAATGCTGTTCAGTTATTCCTCAAGCACCTTCCCCTACTAAACCTATTAACATTGTGTGACGATTGGCTATTCTACAACACAGGAATAAACACCTCCAAACTTTATAAATACAATACAGTGACCGTCAGGATACCTCCTGCGTTGGTGTGTTCCATTTGAAGGTTTATCCTTTCCTGCTTTCTGGAGTCTCCTGTTTTCTTCCCGAAGTTGTTCCAATTCCTGTCAAAATGACCAGAAACAAACTGTCAACAAAACAGTCAACTGGGGAATTAACAAAAATGCAGCAATGTTACAGGATACAGGAATGTTAATCCTGCCAAATCACACCTGGTGTATAAAGGGGGACAGATAAGTGATCAGTTATTGGCTTGGCCAGATAATGGCAGGTTGAAACTTTATTTCATACTCATCTCTAGAGTTTTACAGCATCTCAGAACTCAGTAATGCTTTTCACTGGTAATCACACCCCAAACCAGTGACTGAGACACTCTTGAGTGAGTGCAATTTCAACGCTCTCCTGTAACGCAGCACCATCCAGGAGAAGGCCATCCACTGTCGCAGGAGTCAGTGCGCACTCCCGCCAATACTGCTGTCCCTCTCAGCACTGACAACAGGTACACCACAGTAGCTCCATCATCGTCATCATCACAGCAACAGCAACATCAATACTACTAGTAGTCCGTATGTGTGGGTCTAACATCTTCAATATAAATCAAACACTTCAAAGGTTTTCAATAAAACTGTGCCTCACACAGGAGGCGGCACCAAGCCATACAGAGAAATATTCAGATTGGTCAACAAAACTTCCATCAGAAAATTAGGGTTCAAGGAATGTACTAAAGAGGTGGTGTGGAGAGATTTCTTGAGGGAATTCCAGAGCATTGTGCACAGGCAGCTGAAGGCACGGTAACCAATGATGGAGCCACGGAAATGGGGTGGATGGGGATGTGGGAGAAGTTTGGCTTCAGGCCACAGAGCAAAGATCTTGGTGGGTCCTGAGATAGGGAGGGGGAGGCCGAAGAGGAAACTGGAAAGAAGGTCCTGACAGACCAGGTGGCAGTTGGTATGGGTTAGTGTTGTGAAAGAATGGGCTGGGCTTGGGGGATAGAGGGGTGTGACTACTGAGGACAGTCTGGACAAAGGCACAGGAGTGAGAGAGAGAGAGAGAGAGAGAGAGAGAGGGGGGGGGAGCAGGAGGGGGGGGGGGAGCAAGACAGAGGGGGGGTGAGTGAGAGAGGGCGATGGACTGGGAGTTCCCATCAGTGCTGCTAGTGATGGATACAGCAATAGCCCCCATCCCAACAGAATGACACAGGGGCAGCTGTTTATGCAGGACCACAGCAGTACCATCTCAGCACAAACAAGACCATCCTTCCCCATGTCAAATATTCATTACCCTCTAAAACAAAACCACAGGGCCATGTGGAAATGCTTAGACAGGAGGGCTCCCAAGTTTCAGTTGCCTCGGCGATTATGTTGCTTCCAGTTCTGCTCTCAGGTACAGGCCCAGGAAAAACAGATTCCCGAGTGGATTTGGAACCTTTAACTGACTCGTTCTGGCTGAGGGTGGAGTAACATGTTATAACCACTTGGGTTGCTGTACACATCGAGAACAACACAGCCTGCAGCATTAACCTCTCTCATTGTCTGCTGGATGTTTCTAATCAACCCGTCCAGTGATGTTATTACACAGCTCTGGAGCAGGTGGGACTTAAACACAGACCTGGCTCTGAGGTAGGGACACTACCACTGCACAAGAGCCCTTCATTTCATGCTACATTTGGAAAGGTCATCTGCATTATCTGCCAGACGTGAACTCTCGTTCTGCTCCTATTAACATTTGAGCCCAGTCAGTGCCTTTATTGATCATTTACCTTCTGCATATTGGCCATTTGTTGTAGATTTCTTTTGAGTTGTTCCACGTTGTTATCACAAACAGAATCACTGTGTAAACCCAATCTCTGCTCCTTCAAATCCATTTGCAACTGGGAACTGAAGATAGAAAGAATGCAATCAGAGCGAGCAATGGAGAAACCATCTCGATGATATAGTTTGACAACAATAATCTCACAAAACACAAGTGTTACAAGCACTGAGTTGGCAGGGGACCCAGAGCTGGAAACAAAATACCAGCACTAGAGCAAGTTAAAACAGTAAACCAACTGGACAGGTTTCCAAATTAGATTCCAACCCAAAACGGGTAACTGGAATATTGGCCTTCATCTCAAAGTCTGGAATATAAAAGACAGGGAATGACACTCAAACTTTAATCAAATCCCATCCTTCAGGAACAGGGTTCAGTTGTGAGCTCTGACCTGGAAGGGGATGAAATGCAGATTCACCACAAAGATATTGGAGTAAACAGGTTACACTATGATAACAATTTGCACAATCGTGTCTCACAATACCTTTAGTTTGAATGTTCGAGTGGTGATCGGATCTAAATGTTTACAATGATTGTATCTCTCCATCTGTCACCCAAATTGATCCTGGGTATGGAGGGACTGTCTTATGAGGAAGAGGTTGAGCACGAATTTAGAGTTTAGAAGAATGAGAGGCAACTTTAGTGAAACATTCTTGGAGAACTTGACAGGGTAGATGTAGAGAGGTTGTTTCCCCTTGTGGGAGAGTCTAGGACCAGACGGCATCATCTCAGAATAAGGGATTATCCATTTAATACAGAGATGAGGAGGAATTTCTTCTCTCAGAGAGGAGTGAATCTGTGGGATTCTTTACTGCAAAGGGCTGTTGGGGCTGGGTCATTAAGTATATTCAAGGCGGAGGTAGATTTTTAATTAGGAAGGGAATCAAGGGTCATGGAGAAAAAGGCAGGAAAGTGCAGTTGAGGATTATCAGATCAAACACGTTCCCATTGATGGTGGAGCAGACTTGATGGAGTGAATGGCTTACTCCTGCTCCCATGTCCTTTGGTCTCATTTCCAAAGGTGGTCATATTCAGACAGAACCTTAAAATTACACAGAGGGTCAGATAAAATGCTAACTCTGTTCCTCTCTCCACAGATGCTGCCAGAGCTGCTCTTTCCAGCATTTTCTGTTCTTCATCCTTTAAAAAGTCAATTCAGACCATTCAGGGTAATATCAGAAAACACTTCTTCACACAAAAGGGAGTGAAAGAGTGGAACTCAGACCCTTCCCCCTCCTACCCAAAAATCCGCCAAGTCAAGGGAGGAGGGGTGGTCAACAGAAAATTTCACAATTCCAGACCAATCAGTTTTTGTTTGGCAGAGAAGCCGCAGATGTGAGACCTGCAGAGGACATTCACATACAAAATCAGTCACCAATCTCAGTGAATGCTGGATCAGGGCTAAAAAGGGGCTGAATGGTCTCAGTGGATTGACACAGAAACTGGTGGGCAGGATCATGGAGAGATCACTGACAGAGAGCACAGAATAAGGCCCCTAGCAATCAGTTAAGCAGATTGGGACTGGAATCCCACATTGGGGAGGAGGAGGAGGAGGAGGAGAAGAAAGAGATTAGACATGGTCTGTAGCCCAGGGTGGGGAACATTCCCATGTTTTCTGTGAGATGCTCCTGATCGCTTTTAAACCCAAAGAAACCACAATAAACACGCTATAAATCACTTACAATCTCCACGTACACACCCACTGTGTCAGGCAGCTCAAGGTGCTGGGCCCAGCAACATCATAATTAAAAATCAAAAGCATCAACATCTGAAAACTGTTGATGTTATTTAATCTGTTCAATCATAACCAGGCCACCAACTGCACAGCAAGAGGGTCATATTGGATATATGTCCATTGTGTGAAAGTGTGTTTTTAAAGGGGGCTTTTCTCTAGTAGAGAGGAGATCAGGTTGGGGTGACATGGTCAAAGACATTAAAACTATCAGATGCTGGAGAATCTGAGATAACAAGGCGTAGAGCTGGATGAACACAGCAGGCCAAGCAGCATCATAGGAGCAGGAAGGTTAACATTTTGGGCCTAGACACTTCTTCAGAAAATGAGAAATCTGAAGAAGGGTCTCGGCCTGAAACGTCAGCCTTCCTGCTCCTCTGATGTTGCTTGGCCTGCTGTGTTCATCCAGCTCTACGCCTTGTTATCACCAGGTTCAAGTGGCTGGAAAGATGTTTGCACTACTGAGGAGATCCAAGTGTTACAAATAAGACACAGACACTAATAAATCCAGTCAGGAGAGACATTTTTACCCAGCGAGTGGTGAAAATGTGAAGCTGACTCCCACAAGGAGGTTGGGACTGGGGGGAAAATAGTGTTGACATATTTCTTGGGAAACACACAAGGGAGCACAGAATTGAATAAATGGTGAGAGATGAACAGCACAGGATTGATCCATCTATAACCACAACTTGAAATACAATTATCTCCTGGTATTTCAATCTGAAGTCTTCCAATCTGCTCCTAAAGCAAAGTAAATAACTGAAAATTAAAAAAGCAAAAAAATCACACCTGTACTTTCTACTAAAGTATTAATTAGTACGAATGAAGACATATTAACTCAGTCACAGAGTTGTACAGCATGGAAAAAGACCCTTCGGTCTAACTCATCCATGCTGACCAGATATCCTAAATTAATCTATTACCACTTGCCAGCATTTGGCCCACATCCCTCTAAACCCTTCCTATTCACGTACCCATCCAGATACCTTTTAAATGTACCAGCCTCTACCTCTTCCTCTGGCAGCTTGTTCCATACACACACCACCCTCTGTGTGAAAACATTGCCCCAGAGACTGTTTGTGTTGAACCGGAATTCTAATTTCTATCCACTGTTGATATTCAAACTGTTAAAGTCTGGACCTCTCCAAACATTATTATTGCAGCCTGCTTAACCAACACTAGTGTCTATTACAGATTCTAAAGAACAGTCATACTGGACTCAAAACTTTAACTCTGTTTCTCTCCCCACAGATGCTTCCAGACCTGCTGAGTTTCTTCCGCAATTTTTTTCTGTTTCAAATTTCCAGCATGCACAGCATTTTGTTTTTATTTGGTTGTCTATTTTTTGTTTTGCTTCACTTTGGGGACAGCTGTCTGCTAGACTGGGTACATGCTGTTGGTCGTTTTCCTCCCATCATGTTGTATTCCAATCCATCGCCCTTTCTGTTCTCCATCATGATTGTAAAGCACATTCAACCCACTGAGTCTGCATCAACACTATCCAAGACCAATCCAGGGTATTCCCAATCTTTGCTCAAACCCCTGCATTTTGTTTTGCTCCTTCTGTATTTATCCATATCCCCGCTGAATCCCCTGTTGAATTCAGTCCAAACACTAACCACTTGGTGAGCAGACAGCTAGTCCCCACTACGCCTCAGTTTTTTTTGCCAATCACATTATTCTTTAGCCTCTATTTATCAACACTTCAGCCATTAGAAACAGTTCCTCTTTAGTTACTTATCTAAACCCTTCATGAACACTTCGATCAAACCTCCTCTGTCAAAAAGGAGCTTCTCCAGTCTGTGCACACAACTGTAATTCCTCAACCTTGGCATCATTCTCACAAAACCTCATTCTCCTTCCTAAATACTTCCAATCTATCTACCTCAACTCCTTCCATTTCCAATGGAGTATGTCCTTCCAATTCCATTAGCTTGACTGCGGTCTTCCTGACCATCTCCGACTGGGTCACATCAGAGTTCTGACTGGCTACCAATTCCACTAATAACTGAGACTGTGACCCTGACCGATTTGTCTTAATCAAATAGCCCGACGACAGTTTACTCTGCTGGTGGGGGGATTCTGTGATACCGGGAAATTTCACTTTCTTTCCAGCTTTTGAGTTGGTTTGTTGGATAGATTTGGACTATTGAAGGCTTCTCATGCTGTCCCCTTATCACAGAATCCCTACAGTGCAGAGAGAGGTCATTTGCTCCATCGAGGATGTGCTGACCCTCCGAAGAACATCTCACCCAGCCCCAGCCCCCTACTCTATTCCTGTAACCCCACATTTACCATGGTTAATCCACCTAGCCTACACCTTCCTGCACACTACAGGACAATTTCCAATGGCCAATCCACCCTAACTTGTACACCTTTGGTCTGTGGGAGATAACTGGAGCACCCGCAGGAAACCCACACAGATTGCAATTGTCAAGCATCCTCTTCCAAGAAATTAGTTGAAATGACACTAATAGTGTCTTTCTCTTCCCAGTCTTCACCCAACAGGTGAATGCACCTAGTGTCTTTATAGCAACTCCGATCACAACACTTCCTCATTATCTCAGTGGGTTTTCAGCACTGATCTCACTGAGATAATGAGGAAGTGTTGTGATCGGAGTTGCTATAAAGGAATTGCTAGAAAAGCTCAGCAGGTCTGGCAGCATCTGTGAAGAAAAATCAGAGTTAACGTTTTGGGTCCAGTGACCCTTCCTCAGAAATGATGGTAGCTGGGAAAATGTCAGTTTATATGCAGAAGATAGGGTGGGGAGAGGGGGTGAGGATTAAACGATAGGTGGGGACAGAGCACAGAGAGAAGAACAGTTGGATAGACAAAGGATTAGATAACGATCTGGGTAGGAGGGTGAATAGCTCTTAAATGCAGCGTGTTAGTGACCAATAATGGGTAATAGCAGACTATGTGATAACAATGCCTGGTGTACGGAGGTTGGGGTAAGGACATAGCAGAGTTCAAACCCTAAAGTTATTGAACTTGATATTGGGTTTGGAATGCTGCAGGGTTCCCAGGTGGAAAATGAGGTGCTGTTCTTCTAGCCTGTGCTGAGCTTCGCTGGAACACTGCAGCAAGCCAGAGACAGGGCCAAGGAACAGAGTGGTGTATTCAAGTGACAGGCAACTGGAAGCTCAGGGTCTTTTTTGTGAACAGGAATTACTGCCTGGCTTGTCACCTGAGAAATACGTCTGCAAAGACCTTCTCATAACCCATCCACCCCTTCCTACAGAGCCTCTTCATGGGAGTTCAACTACATTCTTACCCAAAAATTTCAAACTCTTCTGATGGAAACACGGGACCATTACTGGACACTAACAGCTCCGACAACCCAGAAACTACAAACACATTTGTCAAAACCTCAAACACAGAAGGTACCTGTAGTACTGGGCAAAGACACAACATTAATGCACTTACTGTCACTAGAGACTAGAACAAGGTCCCTTCTCCCTGCACTTCCCATGGAGTTGCCATGTTTACCACAGAAGGAAAGGAATCCTGGCTGGTTCATTTCTCATTCTTTGACACATACACAACTTTTCACCAATTCTTCAACGACTTTACCCACCTTTTGGTACCAAACTCGTTTCTTGCCACACCATTTCATACTAGATTCACACAGCTTATCACTGTGTGCGATTTAGGAAATCCCTCTAACAATCTCCCTCTAAATTTCAGCAGAATTACAGCAGAGATGGTGGGATAGTGGTCACTGGACCAGTAATCCTGAGGACATAGGTTCAAATCCCACCACTGCAGAACATGAAGTTTAAACATTTATTTTTTAATAAAACGGACTAATTGTGACCATGTAACTATTATCAATTGTTATATGGAAAAAAAAAAGTCACCTGGTTCACTAATGTCCTTAAGGGAAGGAAATCTGCCATCCTCACCTGGTCTGGTCCTATAGGTAACTCCAGACCCACAGCAACGTGGGTGACTATTAACTACCCTCTGGGCAATTAGGGATGGGCTAACCAGCAATGCCCACATCTCAAACAAACATTTACAAGTTGACAAACTCTATGAGATGAGACAGTCTTGATGTACACTCAGCTCATTTGTGTGTGAGATACTCCTGTCATTTCTCATCATCATCATCATCATTACACTCCGCAGACCAGCATTTCAAGGACAAAATTGGACACTTTACTGAGCAGCATGTCCTGCTAAGGTCCACTTCATTTGTGGGGCAGGCCCAAGCATGGCCTTTGTTCACAGAGTAACTCACAGCTAAACCCAGTGACTAGAAACAAATCCAGTTTCAACAGGAAACCTCAAATGAAAGTCCATATTTGTGTGATACACTGATTGCAGATATTTAATGTCATACTGTTGGGCTATCAAAATTCAGTGCCCATCTCTGAAGCTGTGCTGCCACTGGGGATGGTAGAGGCTAGGAGAGTGGGTAAAGAAGTGGCAGATGGAATACAGTGTGGGAAGGTGTGAGGTTATACACTTTGGTCGGAAGAATAGAAGCACAGGCTATTATTTAAATGGGGAAAGGCTTCGGGAAAACCGAAGCACAACGGACTGGAGAGTCAGAGTTCAGGATTCTCTTAAGGTTAACATGCAGGTTCAGTTGGCAGTTAGGAAGGGAAATGCAACATTAGCATTCATTTCAAGATGATTAGAATACAGGATCCAAGAGACTACAAGGATCCGGCCAGACCATATTTGGAATATTGAGCAGTTTTGGGCCCCATATCTAACAAGGGATCTGTTGGCACTGGAGAGGGTCCACAGGAGATTTATAAAAATGATCCCAGGGATGAAGAGCTTGTCATTTGGAGGAGCAGTTGAGGACTCTGGGTCTGTACTCAATGGAGTTTAGAAGGATGGGGGGAATCTGATTGAAACTTGCAGAATACTGAAAGACCCGGACAGAGTGGACACGGAGAAGATGTTTTCACCAATAGGAGAGACTAGGACCTGACAGCACAGCCTCAGAATGAAGGGACAACCCTTTAGATGATTGAGACGAGGAGGAATTTCTTCAGTCAGAGGATGGTAAATCTGTGGAATGTATTGCTGCAGGGAGCTGTGGAGGCCAAGTCATTGAGTGTCTTTAAGACAAAGATAGATAGGTTATTGATGAGTAAGGGGATTGAAGACTACAGGGACATGGCAAGAGAATGGGGTTGAGATACATATCAGCAATGATTTGAATGGAGGAGCACACTTGATGGGCTGAATGGCCCAATTATGTTCCTCTATCTTATGGTCTTTGGACTCAGTAAAAGCTTGGGGTGGTCTGTGAACAAGATGAACTTCCTACTAGTCAAGTCTTTGTGGAACTAACACTATGTTTAATTTCTAATGTCTTTCTCAACTGGAGTAATTTTGCCTGGACCACTTTCTACCCAAAATACAGAAAAACCTCAAGATGAGTTCAGGAATTCCAAAAAGAAAGTGTCACGTTGCTCTTCATTCCTTAATTTCTCAAATGAAGCGTAGAAAAATATTTCCATCCCAGCCTCGTGGCTATATTTCTGCCGTGCACTGTACACCTCCCCAACACAATGACCATTTGACAAAATGTTCAGGTCTTGTAGTTCACCATCCATTTAAGGACTGAGCTAAGGAGCAATGTCTTCACTTCACACTGTTATTTGGATTTCTCTGATCTAGAGAGCTGGGAATACTCAGCAAGTCTATTCAAGATGGAGGACAGTACAATTCTTGGGGGGGACACTAAAGAATGAAGGAATCAGGGGCTGAATCTGAGGTACAAATTGGCCATGGTCTCGTTGGATGGTGAAACAGATGAAGAGCCAAGTGGCCAACTCCAGCTCCAATTTCTTGTTTGCTGAGAATGACGATTGGATTAAGCAAACTGGATTATCCACAGCAAAGCTCTAGTTTGCACTGAATGGCTGTTTCACCTCCCCACCCATCAACAGATAAATCAGGGTCCACCTACCGTTGCTTTGAAAGCCAATCCACTTCGTTCTGAAGACTGATGATCTTCTCGCCAAACTCCTGCTTGAAGAGGTGGTTAGCTTCCTCGGCCATATGCCAGTTGTGTTGTGTCTGTTGCAATCTGGGATTTGAGTCGGATGAGTTTATGGTAAAACAAAAGAAAAAAAAACAAAGAGAGAGAGAGAGAGAGAGAGAGGGTGCGGTGTATGCAGAGGGTGGGCAAAGATAAAGTTTAAAAACAAAAAACAAAACAAAAACTCAATGATGGTTAGAAACAACAAAAAAGAAACACACTGGCAACTTTGGCAAAGGAAAGGGGTTCCAGGCAAAGAGAAGGTTTTCTTTCAATGTGTTTATTTGGGTCTATTACTACACAGTTCACAATAAATGATGGTTAATCAACAAGTCTTTTGTTGACATTATCTTGCCCCCAGCAAAAACACATCATTGCACCAGAATTAACTTCAGTGCAACAGCCAACATATCATCATTAATGCATTCAATCTAGGTGTGTTTAAATTAAAAAAAAAAATCAATCAATCATTCTGGAAAGCATTGTGCAAAAGCTGATATTGGTTGCACAATTAACTCCCGCATTATCTAATTCGCTGTAAATTGGTTCATCTCTGAAAGCAACCATTTAGTCCCACACAATTCACAATTAATTCCACATATGCTACTCAATTCTGGGTCTTCTAACGGCCAAGTTAAAATCCAGTTGTATTTTGGCATCAGCCCATTGTAAGTTTACTTTAAACAGGAGGTTCTGCTGGAACAATCAGGAATGTGTACTAGTTAGGTCACATATTATTCAAGGTTGCAACAATTGGCAGGACAGGATCAAGGGGCTGAATGGCCTCCCTTTGTGTCTCGCACAGCAGTTTAGGCACCTAATCCCTTACAACAGAATTGACCCAAAATGGGGTTTCGCCAAATGGGATTGTCCAGTTGAAGTCCAGAAGGCATTACAATGTGTGACAGCTTTCACTTGCAAACAAACAATAATATCCCAAATTATTACAGTGAAATCTTATCATCATCATACCGTCTCATGTTGCAGAATTCGGAAAATGGCAGACTGCAATATGTGCTCATCTAAGATTATGAAAATGCTTTGCGATTCTGAGTTTAAAATAGTGAACTAGCCATGAAGTGATAACATGGGAACTGCTGTATCCAAGGTATTATTTCTCATCACCTCTCTCAATGCATCATCAAAACTGCTCATTTCGATTTAACCTGATCCTATGCAGTCTCTATCACCCCCAATGCTGTTTGTTTTTTCCTTAAAATAACAATCCCACCCATTCATTCTGGGTCAACATTAGGTAGCGTTCCTAATCAACAATCAATCCCCACTTTACAAACTAAACACAATTAAAATTGGTCACACAGCACCTCGGTTTCTGCTTTCCCCAGGCCGTGAAAGGGTCTGCAATAAATTCAAAGCTATTACCCTAGTCCCACACATCTCAGTAAAAAGACTTGCCTGGACCAAGAGACTTTTATCAACTCAAGACCTTGCAAAACCAATATTCCCAATATTTCTGATGGGTGCCATTTAGCAACAAATAAAAAAAAACTCCAAAGGCCGAGCAGAATTGGTCAGGGACAAATTGGGAAGAGTGAATTTGTGGGTTGATCTCCGAAGTCCAGATCACTCAAACCCAATTTGTTGGGCGTTTTTGTGTTTCAAGCACTAAACGCTGTCTCCTCTCACAGCCAGAGGCAGAAAGGGTTTATCATTGCACTCTAAGCAGTACTTTGCAGCTGAGAAATTATCCTAGTCTGAGGTCACTCCAAACACAAAGGTGGTCAAATGGATCCTTTTATTTAAAAAAAACTCTTCAGTTCAAACTTTAATGGTGGGAGACAGTGAAGGTGCGTGTGATAATGAGGCAAATTGACTGTGCAAGCTTAAGTTTGATAATCTTAGCCATTTCGGTTCTGCAACGTATCAACATGGACAAGATCAATCTACAGCCATTCAACTGCACTCGAACCTGTGGCCCATGTTAAAACAATAACTACTTTAAAAGGGAAGCTCTCTGTTATCGGTGGTCAATGACTCTCGAGACTGTCGTACCATTCACACAGCAGTAAAGAAACCAGGCCAGGTAAATGGCAGCAATAAACGGGCCACCGATGAAACATGAATTACTCAAATACTATAATAAACTTTTCTTTGTATTGATTTTTAAATTGGAAAAGAGAAATGCTCCACTGCGAAGTGTAATCACAACTCTGAAAAGGTTTTCTATTCCGTTGTCTGGCTAGTAGTAGTCTTCTCCTTTGGAGTGCCTAGTGTCTCTGTACCAGCTTCCCTGCCGCAGTGTTTAGACTCCTAGCTTGTTTCACCAAATCATTCTCACTTTATTGACACAGGGCCATCAGAGGGAAGAAGGCAGGTAAAAGAGATTGCAACAAAAAAAAAACAACGGAGTGGGGAAGATGAAGAAAATAAAACAAGAAGTAAACAAGGAGGAAGAGAGAGAAACACAGTAAACAGCACTTTCAGGAGCAAATGTGCAGGTTAAATTTGTCTTTCGAGTTAAGCACTGGCATCTTAAAAATCAGTTTAAATACACTCGTTGTACTTGTGAAATCTCTGGGGAAAAGGGTGCTCTGTATCAATCCAGGGCACTATCCCCATCAAGTCCATGTGGTTCGCTTCCAGCCATCTCTCTCTCACTGAGAGCAGAGAGGTGTGAAAGAGTGGCCTGGGGAGGAACAACGGGACAGGATCTGCAGTCAGGGGGTATGACTTTTACTTTCAGGGTTCCGTGTGGTGTCACACCTCTGGGTGTAAACAGCTTCTCAGAGTGACTGGCTGGAATGGACAGGATTGATTGGGAGAAATGATCCACTCACTGCTGAGTTGCACCGGTTCTAAAACCGCCCTCAGCTGACTGCATTTACGGGAGGAATTGGCCTGCCATCGTATCACAGAATCCCTACAGTGTGGAAGCAGGCCATTCGGCCCATCGAGTCCACACTAACTCTCCAAAGACCGTCCCTATATCCCTGCATTTCCCATGGCTAACCCACTCAGCCTGCACATCCCTGGACACTATGGGGAACTTAGCACGGCCAATCCACCCTAACCTGCACATCTTTGGTCTGTGGGAGGAAACCGGAGCACCCGGAGGAAACCCCCGCAGACACGGGGAGAATGTGAAAACTCCACACACACTCACACACAGAATGAAACCTGGGTCCCTGGGGTCCCTGCCTCTGAGAGATGACAGTGCTAACCACTGAGCCACCATGCCGTAATTGGCGTTAGTTATGGTAGCTCACAGAGACTCCTTTTGTTAAAGAGTTAATAGACTGTGCAGAGCATTGTTGAAGTCGGTGGGTTTTCTCAGCGAGTGAAATGGATCTGTCTGTAAACTGGACTGGCCCCTGTGAGTCCTGCCCCCATTCTACCCCCAACCCACTGGTCAACACCCCAACATAGTGGATAAATATACGACCCTGGGGGCTATGGGGTCCCAGAGTCTGTTGTTCTCAGCAGAGGCTGGTGTGTTCGTATTATCTCTGGAGCAGCAGATGGTGTTCGAGTGAAATGACAAGTGGAAATGTCTGACCGTGACAAATCAAGTGTGCAGGGAAGAGGAACCGTCTTTAAGAAACACTGCTTCCTGTATCGCCACTCAGAACTCTAACTAGACCACTGGAGAGCAATCCAGGTACAGTCAAACAACAGCGCTGGGGGGACTCTAACTGACTAGAACACGGTCAGAGACTCAACTCTGATCGAGTTTCACTCAGGCAGCGTTTCTGACAGATTCAGGTAAACTCCAAGCTTCGGTTTATTTGTAGCGGACATCAGACAGAAAGTGAAAACGCAGCAGACTGTGTACAGGAAAGCGAGTATGCGGGTTACAGTGTACAAGCTACTGGGGGGAACAAGGGAGTGAGATTAATCCAACAGCTCTTTGAAAAGAGCCATGCAGACATAAAAGGGCTGAATGGCCTCCATGAGAGCTATCTATTACAATCTGGAATTGGAAATCTCAAGGAGCATTTTGTCAACTTTTTAAAAAAAGTTGACAAACAGCAATTGAACAAAATGCCGAGTCTGTCGAAGAGATAACTAATCATTCATTCATCTTGGATTCCTTTAGCAAAGTGTAATTGTTTTAATTTTGTTACAGCTCTCCTAGGCCCCTGCCCAGCTCATGGAGGAGGGGGTCAAGGTGTGGGACAGGGCAGCGATGATGTTATAGAATGGAGGGGCAGTTGTGAGGGGATGGAGGGAGCACAGCGAAGGTTCACCAGACTGATTCCCGGGACAGGTGGACTGACGTTAGGACTGTATTTACTGGAGTTTAGAAGAATGAGGTGGGGAGGCCTCATAGAAACCTATAAAATTCCATCAGGGCTATACAGGGCAAATACAGGAAGGGTGTTCCCAATGACTGGGGAGGTCCAGAACCAGAGGGTCACAGTCTAAGGATATGGGGTAGGCCATCTAGGACTGAGATGAGGAGAAATGTCTTCACCCAGAGAGTTGGGAGCCTGTGGAATTCACTGCCACAGAAAGTGGTTGAAGCCAAAATATTGAATATTTTCAGGGTGGAGTTCAATACAGTTTTTAGGGCTAAAGGGATCAAAGGGCATGAGGAGGAAGTGGGAACAGGAGACTGAGTTGGATGATCTGCCATGATCAGATTGAATGGTGGAGCAGGCGCGAAGGGCTGAATGGCCTACGCCTGCTCCTATTTTCTGCATGATTCGTGTTTTTAACATCAACGCTCACACACGCACAACTTCACTCCCTCACAGTCTGACCAGACTCTGGAGCATACAGTGCATGTCATTCCCAAACTGGGATAGGAAGATCCATTCAGCTAAATTTCTTTGACTCAGGTTGTGCCAATGATACAATGATGGGAGCATTGCTGGGAATGGGAGAGTCAAGGTGAGGCAGCATGGAGCTAGATTCCCGTGTGCACCAGGGAATGGGGCAAGATACAATCAAAAGCCAAATGAACTGGGGACTGGAGGTTACACTCTCATTGCAGCAATCATGGGAATCATAGAATCTCTCCAGGGTGGAAGCAGGCCACTGAGTCCACACCGACCCTCTGAACAGCAGCCTACCCAGGCTTACCCCACTACCCTATCCCTGTAACCCTGCATTTCCCATGGCTAACCCACCTAACCTACACATCTCTGGACACTACAGGCAATTTCCCATGGCCAATCCACCTAACGTGCACATCTTTTGACTGCGGGAGGAAACTGGAGCACCCAGAGGAAACCCACGCAGACACGGGAAGAATGTGCAAACCCCACACAGACAAGTCACCCGAGGGTGGAATGGAACCTGGGTCCCTGGCACCGTGAGGCAGCAGCGCTAACCACTGAGCCACCGTGCTGTAAACGAAAGGCAGAGACAGAAATATAGACTAGTATTAAAATCACTTGATGCACTAAACAGCACATCAGCTATTATTTCTCCCCAGACAGACAGGGTTTCAGCCCTGATTGTGATTTCACCTGGGATTAGCTGAACTTCTATTATTGAGGATGGCCCTCCTGAGCGGAGAGTCACCCAAAGCCTGCTCTCCTGTATCACAGCTCTCAGTTTGACACAGGTAAGCTTGTTCCTTCAACAAACAGTACCTGCTGCTCAGCGTGGGGGACAGAAATGGATTTCTTAAGGAACCCGCAAACCGACACAGTCCACATACACTGCTCTTTTACCTTCGCTCCAGCTGCTTAATTGTACAGCTCATCTGGTTTGCTTTCTCCTCCAAACGAGTAATGATTTCATTCTTCTGTCTAATCACGTTATCAGAGCCCTGTGACATTTCAAAAAGGATCACAATTTGCAAAGTAGGTTAAAAAAACATGAGAAACCAACCCAGGGTCTGTACAACGCGAGCTGCAGGAAGAGCCCCTCAGTGTGTTTAGGGAACTTACAGCCCACAGCTCTCAATACGAAGCATGTTAACCTCTGTCCTCAGGTTTGGTTGCCCCCACATCCCCAAACCATCTCATGTACCCACTTTCAATCGTAACACACTTTTACTCTGCTATTAACACCTACTCTGCGCCTAAACTTTGTCTCTTCTCTACAACCATTTACACTCCTGTTGCCTACTGCTCTGCCTCACCTCAGAGCTCTAATCACCCTCGAGTCCAAACCTTACCCTGACCTTTCTCTGAAACCCATCTCTTCCCCACCTCTCCCTGTCAGGTCAAAGAAGTCTGACTGAAAGTAAAGTAGAACATAAACAGAGAATTCCAGAGAGGCCCAGCAGGTCTGGCAGCATTTGTGGATAGAGCAGGAGGCAGAGCGAGTGAGACAGTGAGGGACAGAATGTTTCAGGTCTGGCCTGACTCTTATTGGTAATTGAAAGGAGCTGGAAGCTGGTGGCATCTAATACTAACCCTCCGAACCTTGGGCCTCCAGCTGTGTTCCAACGAAGCTCAACTTAATTTGGAGGAACACAATCTTAACTTGCAGCTGTTAGGACAGAGTTCCACAATTTCACTGCATGACGTCAGTCCTCCAATTCTCCTCCATTGCCCGGCCAGGTCTCATTGGCATTGCTCTCAGCAGAGTGAAATCATTTAGTTCTTTCCGCAGCTAATACTGACAAATATTTTTCATCTTTCTCTCTCTCTCTCTCTCTACTCCACACCGATCATCTTCTCAAACTAAGGTAGTCCCACCTGCCTGCTCCTGGCCCATATCCCTCCGAACCTTTCCTATTCATGTACTTATCCAAATACCTTTTCAACGTTGTAATTGTACCCACATCTACCACTTCCTCTGGCAGTTCATCCCACACTTTAAAAAGTTGCCCCTCATGTCCTTTTTAAATTCTTTCTCCTCTTACCTTAAAAATATGCCCCCAGGTTTTGAACTCCCCTACCCTGGAGAGAAGATCCTTGCTAGTCCCCCTATCAATGTGCCTCATGATTTTATAAACCATTAAGGTCACTCCTCTACCTGCTATGCTTCAGTGAGAAAAATCCTAGTCTATCCAGCCTCTCCTTATAACCCTCCACTCCTGGCAACATCCTGGTAAATCTCTTCTGGTGACCAGAACTGCACACAATACTCCAGAAGAGGCCTCACCAACATCCTGTAGAACCTCAACATGACGTCCCAACTCCTGTACTCAAAGGTCTGAGCAGTGAATGCAAGTGTGCTAAACGCCTTCTTAACCATCCTGTCTGCGCAAATTTCAAAGAATTAGGTACCTGAACCCGAGAAATTGCTGAGGAATAAAAAAAACTCAGCAGATCTGGAAGCACCTGTGGAGAGAAATCAGAATTAATGTTCTGGGTGCAGTGACCCCTTCCTCAGGGCTAGACTCAAAACAGACCTGGGTCACTGGACCTGAAAAAGGTTAACTCTGCTTTTCTCTCCACAGATGCTGCCAGACCTGCTGCGATTTCCCAACAATTTGGGTTTTTGCTTCTGATTTACAAGGCCTGCTTTAAATTGGGCATATAGTTTGAGCTGCCCAACGTTAAAAATTTACTGTACAGGCACCTCAATTACAGGTAAATGTTTAAACCTCCTCTGGTCACCACTATCACCAGATGTGGGTGTTACTGGCCAGGCTATTCGTCATTGTCCTTAAGGTAGTGGTGATCAGCTGCTTTCATCAGTTGTGATGTGCGTTGTAGCTCTGTGGGTGTAGCTGTCACAGTAACCAGGTCAGTATGAAGTCTAGGCTTTGTTATCAGCAAAATAAAAAACACCCATGTTGAGCAACAGCTCAAGTTTCTACATCACAAGGCATTTATATAAATGTTGCTGCACCATCTTACTCCATTTCCTACCTGAAGCTTTTGAGAGAGCTCATGGTTGAGAGCTTGGACATCATCCAGCTGCTGTCGAAACGTTACCAACACATCTTGTTTGTCACAGATGTCTTTTTCCAGCATTTTCATGGCTAGCTCCATCTCTTGTTTCATACCAATCTGAACCTCCAACTCTTTCTCAACCTCCTAAAGCAGACAGACAGGACGTAGAAAGTTTACATTAGTTTCTACAGAAACTGATACTCCCCCCAGATTCATCACTGGTCCTGCTCAGCGAGTATTCAAACTACTAAATCGGTACAGCGTGTGGACGAGGTACTATTTGGGCCATTCAGTCATGGCTCTTCCTTTGACAGAGTCCCCCACAGCCCTGCACCTTCTCCCTTTCTCAGTAGTCATCCAATTCCCTTTTGGAAGTTCCGATGGAAACAGATCCTTTTGCACACAGCACAACAACTTGGGTTGCAGGGATAGGGTAGAGGGATATCCTTCAGAGGGCTCGACGGGCTGAATGGCCTGCTGTAGGGATTCTATGATTTAACTCGCTGTGTGAAAAGCATTTTCATCGACCCCTATAGTTCCTTTACCACTTCCCATAAATCTCTGCTCTCTGGTTACTGACCCTCTGGCCACTGGAAATTGCCCCAACATCGAAGTGTTTGCCAGCCTTGCATCTCCCTTCACAAAGTAACAACCACTAGACCAATTCACAAAGAGTACGCTCATAAAATAACATGGCGTCAACACGGAAATTACAAGGAATTACTGTTCAGAATCACAGACTACTTACAAAATTCTCTTGCCTTTCTCTCATTTCAGAGAAGTTCCTAACCCAACACAAATTACTAAAGGATTCTGAACCCAATGGAGTAGTTTCCTGTAGTTAAAACTCAAACAAATGCTCCTCTAAAGAGCTTATTATTATGCTAAATGGAATCAAGTCTCAGAGCACTTCCAGTAACCATGTGTTAAGGTGGTTTAACCAGAGGGTCACCGCGCTGCAAGTGAGGGGAAGAGGTTGAGAATTAGTGTCTTTCGTGGTAAGCATGCAAAGTGCAGGAATTTAACCCATATAGCTGGCATCACGCTACATCACAAACCAGCCATCCAAGCTGGGCTGAATGGCCTCGCTCGGCTTTAACTGCTTTATTACATTGATGGATATGGTACAAGTGAGCAGGGGTTGGTTAGCTTAGTTGGCAGGAAGGCTGGTTTGTGATGCATAGGAAGTAGGTGAGTAGCGCATTTAGTCCCTCAAGCCCATTCCACCATTTCTAGATCATGGCCCATCATCTACATCAGTGTTCTTTTCCTGTGCTATCCCATGTTGCTTGATGTCTTTCGGAACTAGAAAAGGTATCAATTTCTGCCTTGACCTGACAAAAGCCCTCTGGGATTGAAAATTTCAAAGATCCCCCCAAAACCTCCGAGTGAAGACAATTCTCCTTATCTTAGTCCTAAATGGCTTGCTCTGTGCCCCTGGCACCACACACACATACACACTTGCTCTCTCTCACTCACTCAGGGTAATGTTGAGTTTGGAAATCCTTCACTGGCAAACTGAACAGGAACAGTGGTCCAATCAGGGAGCCCAGGCTGACAAATATAAACAGGAGTGTCAGAGGTTCTGTTCACTCAGAGCTGGCTTTAGGGAGCTGGATCAGTGTGAAGGGCTCTCCGTGTGTAAATAAAGGGTGACTTGGTGACAGGACACCAGCCTCTGTGGATTTATTTCAAACAGGATAAGAGAAACCTGAAAGGGCACAGTTTGGTCTGCAGAAGGATGGGAACATTCTGCTTGAGAGTGTGCATGGACAGACTCAATGGAGGTTTTCAAAAAGAGAATCTGATCATTATCCAACAATGGGGAAACAAACACTGCACAGCTCTGGGAAGAAGGCTGGGGAGTAGGTGAGCTGTTGCTGAAAGGCCAGCATGGGAGATGGACTGAACGGTCTCCCCATGTGCTGTGACCATTCTACGATCCTATCACATTGCAATGACCCACCAGCCGGAGCTGTGTCTCCTCCTTCAGTTGTTTTCTGGTCTCAGTGTGGACATCATCTGTTCCCTGGCGGGAGGGTCTAGGGACCAGTCCCTCCGCATTCCCATCTGGCTTTCCCACCTGCAAAACAGAAAGGCATTGAACTGAAGACATCAGAAATTCAGCAACACATCGTTGATTGGAATAGAACAGTAAAACAGTGCCTAATTCTCTCATTACCTACAGACACTGATAAATTCAATCGCTGGATTTACCTTTAAAATAAGCTTTATTCAGGGTTTGGCCAGCACTAGATTATCCTGTAGTATAGGTTTTTGACAAATTGATAAGAGGACTTCAGGAGAACAGGTGATCATTGTTTATTTAATATTCAGGTATGGAGACAAACTCTCAACACTAAAGCTCTCCTTGGTGGCTCCGGTTCACCTGTGCAGGCTGTAACCTGTATATGACAATTCTCACACTCCAGTATCCACATGTCCCGTATTATCTTTGATTCCCACCATCTTTCACAGACAATATCAGAGGCTTGGAATTAAAAAAACCAGATAGCCTGGACAATCTGAATGCCTTGAGAAAGTTATTCATTTGGCTCCCAGATGCTTTGCTAGTTTTGCTTATTACCGACAATATGGAAAAAGATTTAATCATTAACTAACTTAACTCCTTCAGTACTAGCAACACAAAGTATTGAGAAGTGTATTTATGAACCGCAACGCCACTAGGAATAACAGGTTGGATCTGGCTGAAAAAGAGTCATCTCAAAGTGTTACTTCAGTTAGTAGAACTTCGTTCTCGCTTTTTAGCTTTGGTCTGGAATGCCGCAATGATAATTGGACTGACCAGTAAGCCAGAGGCCAAGGCTAATGGAGACATGGATTCATAGAATCAGACATTACAGCAGAGGCCCTTCAGCCCATTAGGTCTATACTGTCAAAAATACACAACTCTCTATACTAGTCTGATTTTTGCACACTAGGCCCGTAGTCTTGAATGGTACAATTAAAATTCAGTTAATAAAGATCTGGAATTAAAAATCTTGGTCTCAGTAATGGTGATCATGTGAACCACCATTGATTGTTGCAAAACCCACCTGGTTCACTAATGCCCTTTAGGCCATCCTTACCTGGTCTGGCCTACACGTGACTCCAGACCCACAGCAACGTGGCTGGCTATTAACTAGCCTCTAAAATGACTGAGCAAACCACTCCGATCAACTTCAATTAGGGACAAGCAACAAGGACAACCACATCCCATGACAGCACAAAGAAACTCAGCAGGAACAAGAGCTCCTAACAGCACAGCAGGGACAACACAGAGAGCAGGGCCTACATAAACAATCGAGCCAATGCTCACTCAATCTCCTCACCCAATAGGGATGTAAAAGAATTGAGAAAAGTTCTTCCTTAAAACAATAGGAAGTTAATTTTAGTAAGGAGAACCTGCATTTAAATAGCGCCGTTACTGCGGTGGGACGTCTCAAAAGTTACTTCATGGAATTTTAAATCAAACGTGCAGGAACTGAGCAATTTAAATCACCACATTTTGAACGGTTCCCTTTCTCGGGGCTAAAAACCTGACCTGAATTACAGCAAGTGGAATTGCAGAGCTAAGGATCCAGACTGATTGGAATATTGATAGCTACATGCGGTTAACATGCATGCATCAAGATCCAGCAAATGAAATACATCCAGAGATATACAAAATCTCTTCAGCAATGGACACCCAATTTGTTGGTATAAATCACAATTAGATAGGTAAGCTAAAACAATCAGCAGGTTTAACACCAGGTTTAGGTCCTCTTGACCCATCTAGAGATGGGGGGCAGAAACTGGCTAGTGAGACTAGCTCCCATTTCAGACCTGGAACAGCAACAATATTTTAGTTAGAGTGCAGTCTAACAGTTCAAACTAAACGAAAACAACGTAAATATGTTAACTTTGCCCCACTATTGTTCATTTTAATTAGGCAGTCACTAGGTTAATGACAGGTTACGGCAGCTCAGCTCCCGCATGTTTGATTTAAAATTCTGTGAAGTACCTTTGGGACGTCCCACCACAGTAACGGCGCTATATAAACGCAGGTTCTCCTGCCTGAAATTAACTTCCTATTGTTTTAAGGAAGATGGCTGAAGTAGTTTGGAGGTGAATTTTAACAGACACAGTGCTCCCCTCCTGATGTACCTACTTCCATCTTCTTCCGAGTGGAGTCACAGTAAAAGGCATTTTCCTTAATTCGTTCAGTCTCTTCCTGTAAGGTGATGATGCGGTTGTTCGCTACTGCAAGCTGTAATTGGGAGGGGGTAATGAGAGAGAATAATGTAAAATTTTATTTTCCATGAAAACCAGGACATAATGTCACAGCACGAGGCCAACCTGTAACCCCACACACCCCCCACAAAAGACAGGATTCCCCCTCCCCCCACAAGAGGCAGCAAGGTAGTCCCTTCACCCAGAGGCTGTGCCCTTGGGTTCCAGTCTCTGCTACTAGTGGAACCACCTTCTCCACATCCACTCTATCCAGGCCTGTCAGTATTCTGCAAGTTTCAATCAGATCCCACCCCCCCTCATCCTTCTAAACTCCACCGAGTCAGAGTCCCTAACCGATCCTCACACGACAAGCTCGGATTTACTCATCGAGTCAAAATCCAACCGGACAGGCACTTGGATGAGGAAACTCCTTCCTGGTTTTCAAATCCTGCTCCATACCTCCACCATCACAACCAAGGTACAGACACAGTGTGGTCGGACATTTACTGTGATTCCCTCTCAAACTCCCAATGCTGCCACATTCTCTAGGTCAGATCAGATTGAAGAAAAAAGGACACAGACTGCACCAGATTCCACTGACCTCTTCGGTAAGCTTTGTGTTCGATTTCTCCAAGGCATCCACTTTTGCTTGGAGATTATTTACAGTTGCACTGCAAGCAAAACACTCATGTTAATTACAGGTTTAGGATTTACAGCACAGAAACTGGCCATTCAGCCTGACTGGCCAACACCAGCGTTTACTTGGACCACTTCATCCCTCTTTTCCTCCCTCCCTCCCTCCCTCATATGTTTACATTAAGTCTATATTATCTGCCTCGAGCGCTCCCTGTGGAAACGGGTATCACATTCTCATCCCTCTCACTCCTCCAGGTGTTCTGGTTTCCTCCCATAGTCCAAAGATATGTGGGTTAGGTGGATTAGCCATGGGAAATGCAGGGTGACAGGGATAGGGTAGGGGGTGGGTCTGGTTGGGATGCTCTGAGGGTCGGTGTGGACTCGATGGGATGAATGGCCTGCTTCCACACTGTAGGAATTCTCAGATTCTAAAAAGAGGTTTCTCATGAATTCCCATCTAGATTTCTTAGTGACTCTCATATTGACGTCCTACTTCCAGACTCTACCATAAGTGGAAACATCTCCTCTACGTCAACCCCATTACATGTGTTGGAGAATAATTAACACCTCAGTAAGTTCACCCTTCAATCTTCTCTGACCTGCAGACAAAGGGCCCCAATCCATTCACACCCTCTCAGTTTCAGCGCCATCTTCCCAAATCATTTCTTCATTGGCACCTTGCTCAATGCCTCGATGGTTTTTATAACTCGGAGATCAGAGCTCACCAGTTCCAAACAGCAGCTCTGTCATCACTTTACCCAGGGGTGGGGGACACAGAGGCAGGAAGGGCTGCTTAGTCAGTAAAGATTTGAGAAAGTTCTGACTCTGACTCTAACGTAGAGCTGGTCTTGCGCCAATGCATCATTTCATACCTTAGGTGTCGATTGAGTTCTTCCACGTAGTTTTTTTGGTCCAAAATGGCAGTAATATGCCCATCCCTAGGAAAGGAGATAACTCCTGCTTTTAAATTGGTTGAGAAACTTAACAGTAAAGCAAACATTAAAATATGACAAGCAGGCCTTGTCATCACCTCCTGGTGACAGTCTCTCGTTAATGCTCCCAACTCAGAATCCAAAAGATACCTCTCCACAAGAAAAGAGTCCAATCACATCCAGACACTCCAACTGAATACCGTAGGAATGCTGCATTGTCACAGGTGTCAACTTTCAGGCAAGACAATTAACTGTAGATCACTTCTCACCAGAGACTGAAACACAGGAACTAGGAGGGGGGAGTAGGCCATTCAGCCCTTCGAGCCTGCTCTGCCATTCAACATGATCATGGTTGATCGTCCGACTCGGCTCCCTGTTCCCACTTTCTCCCCCATATCCTTTGATCCCTTTAGCCCTAAGAACTGTATCTATCTCCTTCTTGAAAACATTCAATGTTATGGCCTCAACTGCTTTCTGTGGCAGAGAATTCCACAGGTTCCACCCTCTGGGTGAAGACATTTCTCCTCATCTCAGTCCCAAATGAGCTACCCTGTATCCTTAGACTGTGACCCCACCATGGTTCTGGACTCCCTGGTCAACAGGAACATCCTTCCTGTGTTTACCCTGTCTAGCTACGTTAGAATTTTGTAGGTTTCTAGGAGACCCCTCCTCATTCTTCTAAACTCCAGTGAGTATATTCCTAACTGATCCAGTCTCTCTCCATACAATCAATTGTGCCATCCCAGCCTGGTAAACCTTCGCTGCACTCCCTCCATCGCCAGAACATCCTTCCTCAGATAAGGAGGCCAAATCTGCACACAACACTCCAGATGTGGTCTCACCAAGGCCTCTATATAATTGCAGCAAGATATCCCTGCTCCTGATCTCTGCTGATACGAGAGATCACATGGAAACAACTGGTAGCAGGGGATTTATTCAGAAGGTCGACAGCAACATTCCTGCCTCAATGAACATCTCTATCATGTTGCCCCTGGTGGGAGCCTGCTGCGTGTAAATCATCTGTCACATTTTTCAGACATACAACAAGCAGCTGCACTTCTTTTCATTGGCTGTAAACTGCCTCGGGATGTCCCAAAACTGCCAGAGGTGCTACAGAAATGCAAATCTAACTCAAAAGTTCTCCACAACAAAATGTTATACCAGTCACTCAATTCGAGAGAGTTATTTGCAACCACAAAGGACAAAGCTTTCATGAGGATTACTGGGTACAGTTGAGGGTGCCGCAATGTAGGAAAGATATGAAGCCAGTGGAGAGAGAACAGAAGTGATTTACAAGAATGGTTGCAGGAATAAGAAACTTCACTGATGCGGAGAGACTGAAGAAGTTGGGGCTGTTCTCCTTGGAGAGAAAACGGCTAAGCAAGAGGAGATCTGATAGAGGTTTTCAAAATCATGGGCGGGCTGGTCAGACTGGACAGGGAGAAGCTGGACAGGGAGAAGCTGTTTCTGCTCAGAGAGAGACCGAGAGGGTATGGATTTAAAGTGATGTGCAACTGAAGCAAGGGTGATGTGAGCATAATCTTTTTCACTCTGAGTAGTTAGGGTCTGTGACGGAGATGTGGAGGAGGCAGGTTCAACTGAGACATTCAAGAGGGACACTGGACAGTTATTTGGATAGAAATAGGGTTCAGGGACACGGGGAAGAAGGCAGGATATTGGTGCTAAGGAATAGAACCAGTGCAGGCATAATGGCCTCCCTCAGTCTCATAACAATCCTGTAATCCTGAAATTCACTGCATAACACTGCAAACTTCTTCAGGCACAGACTATGCTGGCGTTTTTGATTTGATTTGATTTATTGTTGTCACATGCACCGAAGTACAGTGAAAAGTTTTGCTTTGTTTGCAAAACAGGCAGATCATAATGTACAAGGACATACAGATCACAGGGTGTTTAGACAGAGTGAGGCCACATTTTCAAGTGGTGAGGTGATGGTATTTATTTATTTATTCTGCAGCAAGATACACTGTAAACCAGAAAATAAAGAAGTGCAAATGCTGAAAAACAGAAATTGCTGGAGAAACTCAGCAGGTCTGTCAGCATCTGTAGACAGACAAAAACAGAGTTAATGTTTCAGGTCCAGTTCCAAAGAAGAGTCACTGGACCCAAAATGTTAACTCAGATTCTTCTCCACAGATGCTTCCAGACCAGCCGAGTCTGTCTAGCAATTTCAGTTTTCGTTTAACATTGGAAACCAATGTTTGCTTGCCTGCTATGCCTGGGATCTTGCTGTGCATCTGCCCACACTCCACTGCAGCAGTAAACTGTAAAGCGATGAATTAGCATACCCCAGAGCTGCGAAAGTTATCCAGCAGAAGTTGACAAAACAACATTACACAACGTTACACTTACCCCTCGGCACTTTTACTGCTGTGGGCCCCATCCTTCAAATACAGTGAGAAGTCAATCACTCCCACCTGAGAGACAGAGAACATGAGTTAGGATTGCATTGCATAATTTTACAGAACCTTACAAAACAAGACACTGCTCACTACATTGGCAAAAATGTAAGAGAATGATTATTGGCATCAGCACTGCCAAACACCCAACAGCATCTACAACCACAACGTAGATTCTAAACCAGCTTCAGAATCTATGAAAGGGTTTAAATGGGATAGAATTGGAGATTTTTTCCACTTGGTTTACGAGTGAGCACGAGATGCATAAACAGCATAGACCAGTTGAGCCAATTGGCATGTTTCTGTGTGCAAATTCTCTGCAATATTTTACTTATATTGATTGATACTTGCAATTCACATAGGCATTGCATATCTTTTAGATATGCAATAACCCGAGGAGTTGTCACAGTAGTATTTTTTAAAATTGATATTCAGTGAACAACTACAGATTATAGGGGGTCACTAGGCACATATAAAACAGCAGCTCACTGTGAATACAGTGACATCAGTTGTCTGTAACAGTTCCACCAGGTCATATACACAGGAATTCAATGCTAATCCAGCTTCTACTGATTTCATCTCTGGGAAAAGCAATTTCTGAATAGCACCTTTCGTCTGGGTATTTATTTCTGGTCACTTTTGAGATATGAACATCACAGGTAAAACCAACAACGAAAGAACATGTAAAAAATCTTTGAGTGTGTGAGTGTGTGAGAGAGAGAGAGAGAGAGAGAGATGCGGCGAGTGGCAAGAAATGAGGAGGAGGCTAGAGTTTTCACCAGTAAAGTTGAGTTGACAGGTTATTGTTGTTTAGAATCTATTTATTTAGTACTTTTGTTAAGTACAGAAACTTGGACAATGTTTTCTGTTAGCCTGGGTCTATCTTAGAGGCGAACTTGGGGCTTTGATGAAATTTGTATCTTTTGTGTTGACTCTGAGAATAGTGAGGCTCAATTTCCAGCACATTACCCCAATGAGGGGTGACGATGAGTAGGTAGTGATGTTTGTCAGTGGCACCACACTGGCTTTGTCTGTGTTTTTGTCCATTGCTCATCCCTAACTGCCCCTTAGGAGGTGTTCAACTACCAGTCCATGGGGCATACGGACACCAACGATGCCCTTCGGGAGGGAATTCCAGGATATTGACCCAGCGACAGTGAAGGAACGGTGATATATTTCCAAGTCAGGAGGGTGAGTGGCTTGGAGGGGAACTTGCAGGGGGTGGTGTTCCCATGTATCTGCTGCCCTTGTCCTTCTAGATGGAAGTGGTCGTGGGTTTGGAAGGTGCTGTCTGAGGATCTTCGGTGAATTTCTGCAGTGCATCATGTAGACGGTACACACTGCTGCTACTGAGCATCGGTGGTGGAGGCAGTGGATGGTAGTGGAGGAAGGAGTGTTGGTGTTGGGGGGGGCGGAGGTACAGATGTACAACAAACAGGTGGAAGTGAATGCTTTGCCACTGACAAAGTCACTGAAATAAAAAAAACAGCAGATTTTTGATGACCAAAAGATTATTTGAAATTCACACATCTATCAACTGGTTAAAAAGGAATTTCTTCACTAGTTTTACAGTCAAGCCCACATTCTGAGAATGGATTTAAAAAAAGCACCCAGATAAAAAGAAGGTTGTGGTGTTACTGCAGAGAAAGCAGTAACAAAAGCCTCTGGAGAATTAAAGAAAATGCAAACTTTATTTTCTGCACAAAAAGCTGGCTTAAAAATATTGTAGGTTATCACAGGCTTCAGTATGTCTTCACTAACATTCAATGAGATTCCCATAATTGAATTCCCCCATCATTGAACACCCCACAATCAACATCTTGGGAGTTACTGCTGCTCAAAATCTCAAACAGACAGACCACATAAACACAGCAGATACAAGAGTAGTCAGAGGCTGGGAATACTGCAGCAAGTAACTCCCCTCCTGACTCCCCAAAAGCCTGTCCATCATCTACAAGGCAAGAGTCAGGAGTGTGATGGAATACTCCCCACTTGCCTGGATGGGGGCAGCTCCAACAACACTCAAGAAGCTTGACGCCATCCAGGACAAAGCAGCCTTTTTGATCCATAACACATCTATCGTTTTCAACATTCACTTTCTCCATCACTGACACACTGTGAATATCCCTCTTGTGCTGCAGTATACATTGTCTGAAATTTGGCATTCTTGCATTTGTCCTGATGAACGTTAAAGGGAATGTCTCTCTCTTTTCAGCAATAACGAAGGTGTTTTGGGAGTAAACGTATAAAAGGGATATGGTGCCAATGTGGGCAGAGGGTGTCAGGATACAGGTCTGCCATGGTCTCCCTGAACTGGGGAACAGAGGATAACCCCATGGTCCTACCTGGGTATCGAGATCTTCGCCCTTCATACAAAGATTGACATCGATGACATTCAGCCCAACCAGGAGCCCAGCAATCACTGCTCCTTCCTCTTCCATCATCAGAGCGTTGGTTTCATAGAACTCACTGGTGAAGAACAAAAGATCACAAGAATTGATGCACAAGTCCATTCAGCCTCTGAAACCTACACTGCCCTTCAATTCCGTGTTCGAATTCTACATCCCTGCCTGTGCAGGAAATCGATTTATTAAAAGATTCAGAACTATCGGAGTGAAGAAAGGTTACGTCTGTGTGAATGGCCTTGCTCTGACCCCTAACATTATGATCACTAGTTCCAAAGCCTGACAGCAATACAAACCCAATTCCACCATTTAATCTTGACATAAAAGGTATGGAGTTTGCACATATTAATGTCATTCTTTTCTTTTAGACTTTGGACTGTAAACCAGTGGCATTTGGGTGCTGTCAAGGGGTTTCAAAGGTATCAAGGTCAGTCTTTGCAGAACCAGTAATGTGCTTCCTGCAGAGTTAATGGAAGCTTGTTTATACTGTGGGTGTTTATAACCAGAGGGAGCACACATTAAACCATGAGCTAAGCACAGTCCATGATGAGCAAAGCAAGTACACAAAGGTATTTGGACAGATCAGAGGAGACCTGACTGAAGACAGATGCAAGATTAGTTTCTCCTAGGATAAAGGAGATTGTTCAGAGCAGTTAAAGAAATAAGTTACATCAGTGAATAGAAGAAAGTTTGTGAAATGCCAGGATCATGTGTGAAATGCCCATAGCAGGAGTGAGTGTTTGGTTGGAATTACTAAAAGAGGATAGGCTAGGACTTTTTCTACTGGAGCGGAGGAGGTTGAGAGGTAACCCTATAGAAGTTTAAAAAAAAAAGTGAGAGGTATAGATAGAGTTAATGGCAGTTGTCTTTTCCCTAGATGGGGGATTTGGATGTGGGTACAATTACAATGTTTAAAAGACAAATGGATAAGTACATGAATAGGAAAGGTTTGGTGGGATATAGGCCAGGAGCAGGCAGGTGGGACTAGTTTAGTTTGGGATTATAGTCAGCATGGACTGGTTGAACCGAAGGGTCTGTTTCCATGCTGAATGGCTCTGACTGAGAAAGTTGGAGCTCTCAGTTGTGTGAATATTCAAAGGAAAAAGTTTCACAGTTCACAGTTCACAGCAGCAGAATGGAGTTAAATCAATCCTATAGATTTAGTAAGTGTATAGTACTGGTGTTGGGGACTAAATAAGACTTTAACTTGCTGAGTGTTCAAAATCTAGTTAGTTCATTTTAATGGGGGATTTTTTTCTGAAGAAGGGTCCAGGCCCAAAACGTCAGCTTTCCTGCTCCTCTGATGCCGCCTGGCCTGTTGTGTTCATCCGGCTCTACACCTTGTTATCTCTAGTTCATTTTAATACCTTGTTATTTAAAAAAGTATTTCCTGTCATGAACTGTTTTATTGTTAAAAGCACACATGGCTACATATTTGCTTATGTTTCAGTTAAAGACCACCTTGTTAAACTTTAAAACCTGATCTGTCAAGCCAGATCTCATTCTGGGATCAGACGTGTCCAGCAATAACATCAGCTGGGATCACAGCCATTGGAAAATCTGACCCTATTCTGGGAACAGGTGGAAAACATTCCCATGGTGGGGTATGGGCTTCTCAGGAGCTCAGCAACACCACAGAGGAACAGCTCTGTAACAGCTGAGGGTGTTTATCAGGTTTCCCTGCAGGAAACCACCAGGGAGAGATCTCCCTGGGAGATGGCACATAGCACAGTGCACACTGACACTGCACCCAACGTTAACGTGCTGCCATTGCAGATACCCCTCCAGACGGCCCTTGAAGGAGACTCCATGAAGGAGACCAATGCCCCTGGTCTCCCCCAACCGCCAGCCCAGGCTACACTGGACCAACCCTTCCTGGAAAATGGCCAGCACTCCCGGACACAGGCTTACCACGGATACCAGCAGCTTCCCAATCCGGAGCTGAGGGAGGTCAACAGGAACATCGAGCCCACTGAAATCCCAAACTGGTGTGAAGTGGTTATTAACCAACCAAACCAGTGTTCCTCCAGCTCCACACTGTGCTGTCTCCAACTCCAGCACCAGCAGTTCCTACTATCTCGAAGAAATTCTGAAATGCGACAGAGGGTCGTTTCGCTCAATTTGCCCCGAATCATCACAAACCCCTTTGAATAAGTCAGAGATGTGCAAACACAGACCTGAGCAGATCCTTCCGATTAATTAACGCCTTCATATAATCCGACAACTTCTTCTGCATCAGAGCCAGACGTAACCACGCTCTCCCTCTACCAACTGGAGTCCTACAAACATCAAAAGTTACTTTGTTAAAGGGGCTACAAAAATGCACATTGTTGTCGTACAAGTTATGTTTAAGGGCTGTTTATCAACAACAAGAGGGCTAACCTATCAACCTATGTTAGCCATTCAGCCCTTGTAGCCTGGCCCCCCCCATTCATGGCTGATCTGATCGTAGCCTCGAATCCACACTCCCAGCTGCCCCTGATAACCTGGTCAGTCAGGAATCTACCTATTACTTCCTTAAAAATGTTTAACACCTTTCTTTAAAGAAGGCAAGCAATAGGGGCTGAGCTATTCACTCCCTCTAAAACCAGAGAGATTGTGGAGTGATCTGTTTATTCCTCTTTATTCCCTCATGGGATGTGGGAATTTACTGACAAGGCCAATACTTGTTACCCTTTGAATAGAGTGGCTTGCTTAGCCATTTTAGTGGTCAGGTAGGGTACAGCCACATTGCTGTGGGTCTGGAGTCATGTGTAGGCCAGACCGGAGTAAGGACAACAGATTCGATGTCCAAAGGGACGTTAGTGAACCAGATGTGCTTGCCTGAAACATAGTTGTACGCTGATCATTTCTGAGACTGACCTTATAGCTCAGATTTACTGAATTTTAAACTCCACCAACCTGCTGTGTTCGGGATTTGAACCCATACCTCCAGAGCATTAGCCTGGGTCTCTGGATTACTGACCCAGTCAAATCACCACCACAATACTGTCTCAGATTCCAATTCCATTTGCCTCTCGCATCCTTAGAATCCTCAGCACCCAAGTATCCACCGCATGGTAAAGAATTTCAAACTTCACCACCTTGAGTGCGAAAACAGAGTCTCCTTATCTCAGTCTTAAATAGTCAGCTGCTTATTCTGAGCCTCACCCATTCCAGTGTCCCAGCCGAGGGCAAAGCTTTCCCAGCAACTACTACATCAGGCCTCTCAGGAATATTGCCCCCCTCCACACCCTGAGGAGCTCGCTCTCCAGCGAGTGATACTCACTTTAGACCTGGGAGGTCCTTCACACTGACTGTAATTTCACCAGCTTCTGGACACAGCTTCTCCACCACCTCCAACGCACCCCAGAACGACTTGTTCTGCCCCAGGAACGTTTTCTTAACTGCTCAAAACACACAACGGACAACACTACAACATTGCAGTAAAATCAGTGATACACTGGGGGAACAAAACAACACGCACACAAACGTTTAGACAAATGCATGTACTACAGTGATCTGCCTTAGCAGACCCAGAGTTAAAACCAGTACAACTTCACAAGGGATCGAGGAATTCAGGTCAAGGCACAATTAAAGGATTGGTCAGAGTGATATGGAACATTAAGCTATAGGACAATGTGAATCTCCATCCACAGACTGAAGGGCTGTTGAAGCATTGAGGGGTTAGCAATCCCAGCTCTTGTGGGTCTGACAGTAAGTTTAACAGCAGTCCCACCACCACCTAGTTCATTCCTAATCTATGGGATTTCTCCAGGCATTCCAATTCATTATTGGCATTGTCATAGGTTCAGACAGAGCAGAACCACGGTCACCCTGCCGACCTCTTTTCAAAGAGAGTTTACCCAACTGCGCCACGGTCATTCCCTACAACCGCAGCTAATATCCCCACTGCAAATATTTATCGGATTCCTTCTTGCAAGTGGCTAATGAACCTGCTTCATCACCCTTTCAGACAGTGTGTCCCAGATCACGGCGTTGGAAACAAATTCAGTGCTTCCTTCTGCTTCTTTTGTCAGTAATCTTCAAACAGTGTCCCTCTGGCAGCTGTCAGTCCAGCCACTGCAAAACTTTTATTTCCTCTTGGCGTTCCCCGCTCAGAGGCAAACAAACCCAGGTTCCCCAGTGTCTGTACAGAGAGAACTCTGTTCACTGACCCATTGCTCACCTCAAGCACTTCCTCTAGTTATTTTAGGTTCTTGTTTTCCAGTTGACAATATTAAAGGTGAAGTGTAAGCACCCTGTGCTTTATGACATTTTATTAGAGCTTAACATTAAGATAAAGCAAGGCCCAGTGTAACGCACTCGAGATTTCACAAATTAACCAGCATCAAAATGGGTGGATACCTTGATCAATTTTTAAAATTCTCACCCATAATTTTCCTTCAGCTCACAACCATCTGAAGTCTCTGCCCTCCTCAATGTATCCTCTCTCTCTTTCCCCCTCACCACCCCCATTCCCCACAAACACTGGCCTCTGAAGTCTCCCCTTTTCCCTTGCTCCGTCGCTGGGGCAATGCCCTCGGCTTCTTGGACAAAAAACTCTTACAAACCTTCCAACATCCCTCCGCCCTACCACCCCCCTCCCCCCCCCACCCCTTTTTTTTCCCTTAAGGCATTCGTTTAAAAAAATACCTAGCTCTGCGACCACCTGTTTGGGCATCTGTACAAAAGCCTCTTCAGGGTCAAATGCAGTTTAATAATTGTTACTCCTGTGAAACACTTTAGGACATATTACATAGCATCAGTGTGTTTTACAGCATAGTAAAAAGCCCTTTGGCCCATCGTGTCTGTACTAGTCATCAAACATCCAACTATTCTAGTTCGATTTTCCAGCTCTTGGCCCATACCCTTGTATGCTTTGTCGTTTCAAGCGCTCACTGAGATATTTCTCCAACGTCTTGCTGGATCCTGCCTCTACCACCCATTTAGGTAGCGAGTTCCACATAACGCCTCTCCTCTGGGTAAAAAAAAAAAAAAACACCTTTTCCTCAAATACCCTCTAAACCTCTTGCTCTTTACCCTAAACCTGCGCCCTCTGGTTACTACCCCTTGTAAGGAGAAACATTTCTCCCTTTTCATCCTGCTTATGCCCCTCAGATTTTGTCCACCTCAAGTCAGATCCCCCACACACACAGCCTCCTCTGCTCGAAGGAAAACATCCCCAGTCTCTGCTTGATAAAGTTGTTGTTGGATGATGTACAGATATAACTAACTTTCTCCTGTGATCACCTGCCCATTTTAACACTCACCTGATCTTCCTAAGAACTAGAAGGACAGATTCAGTCGTCCAGCGCCAAGATTCGCACGGCAGTGAGAATTGTGACTCACCCAGAGACATTAGTTGCCCTGCTAATTGAGGAGCTGTGCTATTGGAAGATTCTTTCATAAATAACCTCAATTCTGCATAGCAACTGGGTGTACATTTCCTCATCACACACATTAGAGACTCCGAACTGGTTTATACAGTCTCCATCCTCACCCATTCCTTCTCCACTCCCAACCAGTAAACCCCCACTCCCAAATCATTCCCCTCCTTCTCCCCATCCCCACAATCATACAGCATGGAAACAGGCCCTTCGGCCCAACTCGTCCATGTTGACCAGGTTTCCTAAACTGAAGTGATCCCATTTGCCAGCATTTGGCCCATATCCCTCTAAACCCTTCCTATTCATATACCCATCCAGATGCCTTTTAAATGTTGTAATTGTACCAGCCTCCACCACTTCCTCTGGCAGCTCATTCCATACACTCACCACCCTCTGCGTGAAAAAGCTGCCCCTCTGGTCCCTTTTAAATCTTTCCCCTCTCACCCTAAACCTATGCCCCTCTAGTTCTGGGCTCCCCTACCCTGGGGAAAAGATCTTGGCTATTCACCCTATCCATACCCCTTAAGATTTTATAAACCTCTATACGATCACCCCTCAGCCCCCAACACTCCAGGGAAGAAAGCCCCAGCCCATCCAGCCTCTCCTTATAGTTCAAACCGTCCAGTCTCGGTAACATCCTTGTACATTTCTTTTGCATCCTTTCCAGTTAACAACATCCTGCTGATAACCAGAATTGTACACAGTACTCCAAAAGTGGTCTAACCAATGTCCTGTCCAGCTTCAACATGACTTTCCACCTCCTATACTCAATGCTCTAACCGATGAAGGTAAGCATGCCAAACGCCTTCCTCACCATCCTGTCTACCAGCGACTCCACCTTCAGGGAAGTATGTACCTGCACCCCTTAGGTCTCTCTGTTAGACTACAATTCCTGTGGCCTTTCTCCCTCCTCCCCTTCCTGACTGGGGAGATGAGGGAAGGAGTAGGGAGGAGGGTCAAAGGGAGCCGGAACTGGGTGCAACGGGGAGTGGAACGAGGCCTTCTGTGCCTCACAGGACAGGAGCAGCTGGGAGACAGGGAGCCAAGGGTTTGTTGTGATCCCTTCCTGAAATATCTCAAGCACCACCTCCCAGACTAGAAACCCACACTTCATTGACCTGCTCACCCACTCCCCACTCCTCCCTCAGTACCCTCGCTGGAGGAAAGGGGATACAGGGGGATATCTGAGAGAGAGGTTTGCAATATTAGGACAGGTGATGTTAAAGCAGACCTGCTCCTAGTCGAGGAAGGACCGGGGAGGTCACAAAGCCAAGAGATTTAAGGGGCTGTGAGGAAGAGTATTTTTATCCCCCTATAACAAGACCTGGGCACCCACGAGGTAGAAGTGGAAGCGATGGAGGACACCAGTGGGAAATAAATTTGTGGGGCTTGGGGAATAAAGTGGCGGAGGTGAAGGATTTGCTGTACAGAGGGCAGGACAGACCTGACGGGCCAAAATGTTCTTTTTCCAAGGTATAAAGACTCCAACTGAACAACGGCCTCACACAACGTTTGCCCATCAATCCACTCAAGTGAGTGGTTTGTAAAATGGAGGTTAATTTCGAGGCACTTCCTTCCCACACCTTATTAAAAAAAATCGAGAAGCTGGCCCCTGTCGATCTCCCCAAAGACCAGGCAGCTGTTGGTCCTGGAGTTACTCACCTTTAAGGCCATGTTTCAGGCAGTGTTCCATAACCGCAAAAAACTGCTGCAGAGGAGCATAGTCAGAATCCAGTGACCGTCCCAGGTTTAACGCTGACTCAATGAGACCCTTGATGCTGAGTTTCGCCATGTTCATTAAATTCAACCGCTCAATTGCAATGGGGTCTTTGGGGTCTGAAAACAGACATTAAAAAGTACATCAAAACATTTACTCAAGGCAATACACAACAAGTAACATTAACTTAGAAAAAACTAGACACTTTCATTCACAAAAGCGCCATCATAACTGTAAAATCTGAGTAATAACATAAACCGGAGACCTGAAATAAAAACAGAACGCTGGAGAAACTCAGCAGATCTGGCAGCAGCGAGGAACAGAGTTAATGTTTCGGGTCAAGTAGGATTCCAACTCACAGGCTTCACACCAGCACCCTCCTTGTATCAGATTCCCCCTGCCCCCAACGCCACGACTCCCACCCTGTCACTGTTTAACAAGTCTCCCCTTAAATGTATCGACACTATTCACCTCAAACACAGCTTGTGGGAGGGAACTGCACTCCGCAGACCAGGGGACACTAATCAACTTGGGCACAAGAGGGTCAGCGCCGAGGGAGCGCCGCACTGTCGGAGTCACATGAAGGCCCAACTGGGTAAGGATGACAGATTTCCTTCCTTAAAGAGGACATGAGTGAATCAGATTGGGTCTTCACAACAATACACTAGTTTTGTGTTTCAGAATGTATTGAATTAAATTATTAAATTTCACCATCTGCCACAATGAGATGTGAACCCAAATCCTCAGGACATTAGCCTGGGGTTCTCAATTACTATTACCACGATATCAGCTGCCTGTTTCCCCCTCGTCGTGTTCCCATTTCAGACTCCAGCAACTACAGCACCTTGTTATTTTAATAAAAAATGCAACACATTTCCCTTAATTTAGGTTAACACAGTTACAAGCTCTTACTTTTCAATTCATTTTCAAGAAGCTCACCACCACCTTCTCAAGGGGCAACTAGGGACAGGCAATAAATGCTGACCCAGACAGTGATGCCCACACTTGGCAAATTAAAGATTGAGGTGGAACAGATGCACAGGGCTGAGTGGCCTGCACCGTTCGTACATTCGTAACGTGGAGATTTCTGAAAGGTTTATGGTCTAGATTTTGTTTTAGAGCCACAAGTTTTTTTTATTCATTGAAAGCCATAAGATGAACATAAACATACAAACACCAGCACACTCGCAAGTCCCCGCCGGCTCTTCACAAGAGCCATCACATTCAACACACTTGCCAACTCTTACTACACTGTCCTACAACTGAAATTGGTCCTATTTGTTTATAATTGAAAATTACTGTTGAATCTACTTTCACTGCCCTTTCAGACAGTGGGTTCCAGATCACAACAACAACTGTGTGGAAACCAATTCCCAACATTCCCTGCCCTGACTCTGACATGGATTACCTGCAATTTCTATCCTGATTATGGACCCTGCTCTCAGTGCCATCAATGTCTCCTTCCTTACTTACTCCATCAAAACCCATTCGGATATTGAACACCTCTGTTAAATCTCCGCATCACACAGGAGCCCAAGAAAGAGGAGCCATTCGGCCCATTGAGCTCGCTCCCCCCTTCAATTTAATCATCTCCAAAATCAATGTCACCACCCTTTTGGACATGCTATAATGCCGAACGTGACCAACTGGTGATTGAGGTTTTACAATCACCATCCTCTTTCCATGACAGAATCTAAAGAGCCTAGGGGACTCCCAGCGGTAGGGGAGAGTCACTAGCGAGTCTTAAAGAGACAAGGACTTTGTCTTAAAATGAAGCTGGTTACTAAATAACTTCCAAATAACTACCTTATTGACGCAGACATTGTAACAAAGACTAAGAGAAGAATTTACATACAGATCCAACCCCTTGGAGATCCAATGATGACATTTCCCAAAGCAGGTCCTCATGACATCATCACATTGGGTGGAGCTTAGTGCTGAGGTCAGGATTAACCCTTTCAGAATTGTTACTTTATACAACACCCTTCAACCCTCGATTCCCTCAGAGACCAAACTCTAGCGACCTCATCCTTCAATATATTCGACATCCATAACCCTGTGGAACAGAGGATTCTAAAGACTCGCAACTCAGAGCGAGGACATTTCTCCTCACCTTTGCTGTGCAGAGACCAGTCCAATTCAGGGTCCCCCAAACTCTGGTACTTTGCAGTAAATCTCCTGCACGCACAGTACGCTACAAAAACTGGTGAGCCTCAGCGAATGGACCAAAAAGCTAGAAACACTAAAAGTTGTGAGAGATGAACACCAGTTGACAGCCACGGTTTCTTTACTCACCCCGAAAAACAAAACTGAGAAAACAAGTCCCCTCAACTTTTTAAGCAAAGTTTCAGGCGATACTTCCTTGTGAGAGGGCAGACAGAAACATGACACAAACTGCTCTATCGCAAACAGAGGAATAGAAGCAGTCCAGCACAGGAAGCTGCCAGGGAATGAGATTCTAAATCTTTGGTGCAGAATTCTGCCAAACCTTCATTCACAGAACACAGGGGCTTTAAAAACTGAGCTGGGCTGGTATCACAAGCACTTTGTCAACCCAAGTTATTGATTCTGGGGTCAAAACTGAGACAGACAGATTTCTGATAAGTAAGTGACATGACAGGTCGTGGAACCAAAAGCTGGGGGAAGTGGAGTGAGGAGACAGAACAGTGGCATGTTCAAGAGTGCGTTCGTTAGAGAGTCAGGGAGTTAACTGTAAAGGAACAGCATCTGGTTACAGCAGGAGAATGGCACCAAGTGAAACGCTCAGAGACACAGTGTGGGCACAGTGGGCTGAATGGCCTCCTGCTGTGCTGTGACAGTTCTGTGATTCAATCAGGAGCTAAATGAATGTCAGAACAGGTTTGAGGGGATGAATGGACTCTGCTTGCTCCCAAGTCCATACTCGTTCAAATGAGTATTTCTTGTTTCAGAAACAGAGCTGGTCTGACCACCCCAGTGGCTCCCTGTGGTTTCTGACTCACATTCAACAACTGCTATCATCCAAGATATAAATGCGATTGGTTCACAACCAACAGGCTGCACCAGTTACATGGGTGAGCCTACCCTGTGAAGTACCAACAACACAATCAGGACTGTGGACAGTGAATGCAAGGCTCCTGATGTTTTTCTGCTAAAGGATTTACTAAATAGATGCAAGAAAGAATGAGATAAACATTCCATCCTATAGGTCGGCTGCTCTCCATTCTGACTCATGAACCCTTCTCTTCCTCTCAGATCTCAAACATGCAGTACTGGAGGCCATTCGGCCCAGAATGCCTGTGACAGCTCCTTGAAGGTGCTGTCCAATTACTCCCACTCTCCTCACTGCCCATAGTCCTACCAGCCTATTTTGTTGTGAAAAGATGCGGTGTGCTGTTGTAATTTTGAATGTGCTGCCTACAGCTGCAGTGAAAGCAGATTCATTTTTGTTACACATCCATTTATTGCATGTGGGTGTCGTTGGCTGGGCCCAGCATTTATTGCCCGTCCCTAGTTGCCCCCTTGAGAAGGTGGGGGGTGAGCTGTCTTCTTGAACCGCTGCAGTCCATGCGCTGTGGGTTGACCCACAATGTCCCTTAGGGAGGAATTCCAGGATTCTGACCCAGCGACACTGAAGGAACGGTGATATATTTCCAAGTCAGGATGCGGATCAGAGAGGCTGCTCATTACCTGCTCCTCCAGGGGCAATTATGGACTTGAAACAAATGCTGGTCCAGCCAGCAACATGCACCCCCCTCCATAATGACTTTTAAGAGGGAACCTGCTTCCACTGCCCTTTTAAATGACACATTCCAGACCACAACAAACAACAACAACAACAACAACTTGCTGCATTGAAAAAGCACCTCACCTTGGGCCCTTTGACAATCTGTTACCTCTGGTTAGTGACCCTAAAGTATGTGGAAACAGTTTCTCCTCCATTTATGCAGCTGTAACTCCCTCATCATTATCTAGAAACACAATTAAACCTAATCTCTAATTACTGTGTTTTTAAAAACCTCATTGTTTAAGTCAATTTTATCCACCCACTCTGAAGTCTTTTGTTCCAAAATGCCTGGAAAAACAGCAGCAATCTGTCAAGTTCTAAACTCTGCTGGCACTATGTGTTTCTAGGGGACTGTTGCTATGATAATTAGAGCTTCAAAATTCATACTTACTGTTTTATCAAAAGGATTGGTTTTACCGCAAACATTTACAACAGCAAAAACCTGCATTTATATAGCACTGTTACAGGCTCGCAGAGGATAGTACATGTAGAGATTTGTTGGTCGAACAGCCAGCTCCTGTGCTGTAACATCAATGAATCTCTTACTCAATTTGCAGATTGATCCTGGCTGTCATAAGACCATAAGATATAGGAGCAGAGTAAGGCCATTCGGCCCAGAGTCTGTTCTGCCTTTCAATCATGACTCATATGTTTCTCAACCCCATTTTCCCGCCTTCTCCCAATACCTTGATCTCTTTATTAATCAAGAACCTATCTACCTCTGTCTGAAATATACTCAAGGGCTTGGTCTCACAGCCTCCTGGGGCAATGAGTTCCACAGAGTCGCCACCCTCTGGCTGAAGAAATTCCTCCTCATCTCAGTTCTAAAGGGTCGTCCCTTCACTTTGACTCCTCAGGTCCTAGTCTCTCCTATTAGTGGAAACATCTTCTCCATATCCACTCTATCCAGGTCTCTCAGTTTCAATTAAATCTCCCCTCATCCTTCTAAACACCATCAATTACAGACCCAGACTCCTCAACCGCTCCTCATAATGACGAGCCCTTTGTCCCCGCGATCATTCAGGTAAATCTCCTGTGGGTCCCCACTAAGGACAGCACATCCTTCCTTAGACACAGGATCTAATGCTGCTCGCAATATTCCAAATGTGGTCTGACCAGGACCTTCGTACAGCCTCAGCAGTATATCTCTGTTCCTGTATTCCAGCCCTCTTGGAATGAATGCTAACATTACATTTACCTTCCTAACTGCCGACTGAATGTTAACCTGGAGAAAATGGTGAACTAGGATTCCCAAGTCCCTTTGTGCTTCAGATTTTCAAAACCTTCCATGACCAACGTGACTTCATTCCTCTAGCTTCCTCCTCAATGCATTCACCCTGTTCACCTCAAGCA